TAATGCATATTTTATATTGCACAAACTGCTCCTCAAATCTCATTTGAGAGCCGGCAGTGCAGCCTTGAACTGACAGCCGCATCTGAGGTATGTAAACAATTCACTGTAAATACATGAAAACACATTTCCCTCTTTGTTACCATCACGCTAGCGTGTCAGAACAGTGTGTGTGCGCATTAAGTCCGCGAATGTGATTCGCTTTTGTTCTGTGCTTCAGCTTTTGAGGGAAACAGTTGGATGGAAGGATAAAGAGCGAGAGAGAGAGAGTCTTTTACTGCATTGTCTTCATCAGATCTGTCATGAGCTCATGCGTTGATCACAGATACGGCCTGTCAGCTTGACACCCGCTCTATCTCTCCTCGCCCGCTCCAACCGTTCCCACAGGCAAACCAAGAGAGCGAATGTGGTTTTATTGTGAGCGTGAGCATAAAACGGCACTGATTGTGTCTATTTTCATGCCTAGCGTGAACCAGTTCTTTATTTTGAAGCAAACTTGATCGTTGCAGTTCTAGCCCGGATTGTTTGATTGTCTCTAATAGCTGTATATGTTAGCTCTCACTAGCTAACTGTGTGGTCAGGCGACTGGACTTCACTGCCTTGCTAAGTGCTAAAGAGAAGTGTGTGTTGAACAGCTCTATAAACCTGCTCATCAGCCCTCCCGTCCGACACTGCCAAAGCCAGCACACGCTGAGTGGAGAGGCGCTCTGTATAGCCTCTCTGTACAGAGTTATGGGGCTTTAATGGGAAATCTTAAACACATTGCGAGCACTCCTCAGCATATGTAGGCTGACTGCTCACCGCAGAGTGGTTTTGGACCAGGTTTTTCAAAAGGCATTTAAATACCAGCTAACACTCCATCATAACCTAAGCTGTGTTTCAAGCTGACATGGATGAGAGAAAGAAAAAAAAACACCAGTCAGATGACACGATCAGAAATCTGAAGAGGAGCCAGTCAATAGTCCTTGCGCAAGTTTGTCTTTGACACAAATAAATATGTGGTTACACATTTTTTCAGGAGATTTCGTGGGCAACAAAAGGTCCATTTGTATTGTAAATAATGTAGCAGTGAAACACACGTTCAAACCAACCAGCTATCTATTGGTCAACACAGCAAATCTGCGTGACCAACTCGAAACTGTTGCAAAATCTGCGTTATAAGCAACATTTTTCGCCCCCACGCGAAAATCCAGAAAGCATTTAATCCTATTGAAACGACTGGACGGCACTGTCACGATTATTCTTAGTTTCACCCTCATAGACTTATAGTTTGGATCCTTCAGTCTCCTTTGTTCTCAGTTTCCCGCCATTTGTTTGTATTCTAGAATACTCATTGTGTTCTAGTTTGTTTCTATGGTTTTTCATCAGTTCCCTCGTTTGTTTCACCTGTGTTAATCTAATCATCTTTGTTTTCACTTAGTGTATGCCTGTTATACTTCTCATTTGTCGGTTCTTTTTAATGCTTCAGTCCAGTTTGGTGTAGTGATCTTTCTGTCAATAAACCTACAGAGCAGCCAACTCTCATGCATATGATTGGTTTCACATGCACGAGAAATCAACTAGCTAGTCGCGACTGTTTCCCGAAACCCATTGTCGCAAAGTATCGTTCAACCACGTTGGTTTCACTCGTTGAACTATACTGATAACGACAGAAATTGTGAGCATAGTTGGCTAACGATGCTTTCGGGAAAGCATCGTTAGCCAACTATGCTCGCAAGTTCCGTCGTTATCAGCATAGTTCAACGAGTCGGTGTTCCCGAAACCATCGTTCCTACGAACATTCGCAAACAGCATCGCAAAGTTGTGTGGTTTAAACGACAGCTCTCGACCTGTGGTTGGAAGCATCGTTTCTATTTTGCATGACATTTGGACGTAATAAATCTTGAGCAAAATAAGCAAGCTGACATTCAGTACAACCAGTGCCTTTTATTCAGCAAACATACAAATGTAATTTACGCCCTTTAGTTTGTCAAAAGAATTAAAGTAACGTGTTTGAAGAGTGCGCATGTGCGAACGTGCTCTACTATGTAAGAGTTTGGTGATAAAGCAAAATAACTGAGAACAATTTGAAATAGTCCTCAGATGACATGTTTGTAATTTATATTAACAAATCTAGCATTAATTGGATCTCAAACAGTTTAATTAAAAGTAATTATTACTCCACCACGTGCGAAACCAACGTGGTTGAACGATACTTTGCGACAATGAGTTTCGGGAAACAGTCGCAACTAGCTAGTTGATTTCTCCAACGATGTATCGTACTACGGTAGTGAAGCAGCGAGTTACATCGTTGTACGGGAAACGCACCCCTGGTCGGTCAAATGCCTGGAAGATGAGTTTATCTATATGAAGAGTTCAGATGCAAAAGCCTCTAAATGCCATTTGAAATTTTCTTCTAAAATGACCATTTTTATCAAGCTTGTATATTTAAGTTCAGTAATTTCACTTAAATGACAATTAATAGGTAATCTTCATTGCCATTTAAGTGAAATTACTGAACTTAAATATACAAGCTCGATAAAAAATCATCATTTTAGAAGAAAATTTCAAATGGCACTTAGAGGCTTTTGCATCTGAACTCTTCATATATCTACCTGTTGAGCCAATCGTGATTGACTAGTTATGCCGTAAATTAGTTAAAATCTCCTGAAATCTAGAGCGAGCGCGCACGCGAGACAGTGTGCTCCTCCAAACCGCGTAGCGCGTGCACGGCAGAGAGGGGATCGAGGGAAAGCAAGCGAGAATTTAAGTCTGCACGCATCCACACCCCTCGCCCCCCGGAAAAGTTTCACTCCAAGCTAAACTCAAAAGTTGGCAGCTATGAATAAACCTTGCTCATGTTTATCTTTGTCTTCGCATACCTCACCTCAGCCAAAGTGTGATAGTCACACACAAATATTTCCCAAACAACGTTAAACGTGACCATACTTTAAAAGAGGAATTTAATGTAAATATGAGCATTTGAGAAAAGGGTTCTGGGAAATGTAGTTTTGTTGCTGATGAAAGACTTGATACCTTCATGGTAATACTGTCAATAAACAAGTGCAAAAATTGCACCTTTCACTGGGGCAGTATACCCTTAAAGGGACAACATTTATAATACAAGTAATAATATGTAACCTTTAAGGGGTAGCCTAAATAAGGTACAAAGTTGTCCAATGTACATGTACTACTGCAGAGATACCCCTAAAGGTAAAATATTTAGCAATTTTTTTTAATGTAAATACCATGGTACCTTAGTATACCATCTGATACATTTTTGTAAAGTACCAGTATATTCAGCTAGCAAGTTGACTAGGCTGCCAAACTCTCTTTCACACACACTATCTCTCTTTCTCATTCACTCAGTGGCACCACATCATTAACAGGTATGGCAGGGCTGTTTGCCACAGAAATAGCCAATAAATCAGTCGTTAATATATGTGCACGTGGGAGACAACCCTGGGGAGATAAACGGCTTTTTATTGAGACACTCAGTGAAAGGCTGAGCCGGGGCCAGTCCCCCTGGCCACTGTATTTACCTCAGGGGTGTCAGAGAACAGTCTCTCTCCCTCAGCACAACGCTCTTGCCTTTCACCCACACACATAAATCTGTCCCGCTACACGCCAGCCAAACCGCTCAGCAGAGAGCGGGCAAGACCTAGCATCAGTAACAGCACCTAGCTTCCCGCACATAAACATTCATGCAAAAGGAAATTAAAAACCACAAACAAATCACACAATACAGAAATGGGAGCTGCCGAACTGTTTAAACCAAATGAAACATCCAGGGATTTTGTAGTAGGAATTTCTGGATAGAAATTCATGCTTTTGGTCATGAAAAACAGTATGCTATATGAGTGATTTTATATATATATATATAATAATTGTAAAATAAATATTAAAAATTATTATAAAAGAACACTTAAAGAAAACTTAAAGAACACTAAATATTTTATACCAAATTTTAAACTAAATTGAAATAATTCTCAGATAAGGTGTTTTAGTATTTCTCTCTTTCTCTTCATTACGGCTTCTCAATAAGAATACATCCAGCAACAGGGTGGAACAACAGGGTAATCGAGCTGGCATGTTTAAATCACATGATCTACTAAGTGTTCGGATCGTCTCTCACGCAGCGCCTGCTAATTACCTAGTATACACACTTCACCCTGCCTGGGGTCACACACATACGCACATATTACTTGTCATACAAAACGACTACGGCAAAACAGCTTATGAGAAATACAATTATTTTAGTTATTAGTCAAATTAGCATATACACTTTGCATATTTATTTGATTACAAATGCATTCAATATTTTTTTCTCTTGTTTGAAATGATGAAACTTCGAACTAAGATTTATTGTCACACTCCTTGACTTGCAGCAGTTAACGTTGTTGAATACACTTTCCCCAAAGTGTCTGCAACATTTATAGAGATCATGAGAGAGGAAGTGAAGGGACGAGTGAGAGAGAAAGGGGAGAGAGTGTTTCTGTTTTAGGGTGAAAAAGAAGAGCGCCACATATGAGAATGTGAGGTCACTCTCGCTGCCCTGTGTGTTTTTCTCCAAGATTAAAGCTCACAACCTGCACAGTTAATATGACAAGCTATTACAATCTTCATGCATTCCCATAACACATTTGAATACACACAGATAAGTCTATAGGCGTTGCAAAAGAGTCACACACAGACACACACTGTTTAAACTTTAAAAGGCACCACTGGATAATCTCCCGTGACAGACAATGAATACAACTGAAAGTCTCTTTCTTTCTCTCTCTAGCTATCAATCTCGCTGTCACACGTATGCACATAAATACATGCATACGCTCAGTCATCTTAAATGATGTCCCAGAGAGAGTATGTCATATTTAGACACTAACAGATCCTCGTGCCCCTGAGGCATGCTAGAGTGTAACCCCAAACTCACCAAGGTGCACGGTACACACACGTTCACTCTCACTGCAAATCTGATAATATTCACCAGCAGATCGTATAGGGATTTTGAAATAATATCTTACCTGTTTGGTCATGGAGTCAATCAGGCGTACGTAAAAGTCCTGTTCTGTTCTGATGCCTGCAGAGGAGAAAAAATAACTCCTATTTAACTCACAGTACAATGCAGGTCATATGCATGCAAGGATTAGAAATGAATCTGAGAGGTATATATTTGCCATTCACAATAACATAGATGCTTCAAATGTCTAGACAACCCAACCCAACATAGTCTGCAGACAGTGTTGAAAGATTATGAAATTGGTTTTGGATCAAACAAACTAACATACACAAACTAAAATAAAAAATAGCTTTTACATAGGAAAATAAACAAGAAAACAGTGGTAAAATAAAACGAATAAAATCAAAATAGCAATTACACAAAACATGATTTTCAACTAACTAAAATGTGTAACTGGTTTAGGAACATGAAGAACTGGCGCAACAAATTGGCAAATGCCTGATTGTAATTTGCCACATTAGTGGACGGAAAAGAGTGTACTTTCATTATGGCCAGGCCATTAGCTTCCATCAAAAATGAAGTGCACATTTCTGGAAAACGCGTAACCGGAAAAGTGCACTAATGGTGATCGTTTTGTGATTCAATAATATTCATGCCTAGTTTAAACGCAACGACTGCGCATTTTAATATCTTTTTCTTTTTTTTTTTTTTTTTTTAACAATTATACGAATTAGCCTATTATGACAGTAGGCTATAGACCAATATTAGCCTATTATTATTTTAGGACATTTCATTACTTTTCGATCAGTTGTAGGCTATAGTTGAATGGCTAGGGAGTTATTTATTGTCACCCCTTCTCGCTTTTTTTAATTTTTTTTTTATTATTATTTTTTAAAATATTTTTATTTATACTGAAGTAAATAGCAACCTGATGTGTTTATGCAAAGTTCAGTGAATCTTAGATAATGCGTTCCGTCTTACCGTTGCTGTAAAGAAGCTGCAATCTGTAATGGATCCCATTGTTTGTCTTTTCTCCGCTAGATTCCTGCAAAAATAAATTTGATGGTTAGCAAGAAAAACCCATTTGATTATTCCTGACGAGCCCTGTGAGTCAGACCACTATTTCCCAGCAGTCCACGAGGCCAAAAAACAAAAACAAAAAAAACAAAAAAAACGCTAGGGTAGTCAGCCGAAACACAACCTGAACTGTACGTCATTGTCAGTGAGAAGAAGTTTACAATCAAATAGCGTTCTTAAAAAATACAATTTTGTTTATTTTTACAACGTGATATGATCAATAACAATGTACCCGGGGTATAGATAGACGTAAGCTACATGCAAAGTGACTATTGGCTACAGTAAGCATTAATAGCCACATCTTTTAATGAAATCAGTAGCCAGTCACTTTATTTACAAATGTTTTCACTGATTTAAACAAATTTTAAAATAAAAAAAATAAAATAATTTGTTTTATTAGTCTTTTTTGAAAGGGAAAATGTGACCTTATGTTATCACCGTAACTTTCTGAAAAATATACAGAAGTGTTCAATGCATAAACTGATTGAAAAAAAAAAGAACTAACACATGAGATCCTCTTAAATTATTAGGGATGAATATGTAAAAAAAAAAATTAAATTAAAAATAATAATTAAAGGATGTTTACGAGCTGAGATTTGATAGATCAGTAATTTAATGCAAGAATAAAGATTTCAACTTTACGCCAACATCAAGACACATTTTCTCTGCTAGCCAAGAGACTTTAAAAAATGATCAGAATTTACCAGACATTTTCATTCAAATTGGCCAAACCAAGACATGCAAAAGAGAACGTTACACTTGCCTTTTCTTTTTCAACAAATCCAACAAAAGAAGTTCTTTCAATTTCCACGGGTTGTCCTTGTCTGTCGTATAGCGCTAAAACGAAGTGGAAGAAGTTGGATTTGCGAAGATTTGAAGGAGGCTGCTTCTCAAAGTGAGCTCGAGCAAGACCCACTCCACTGCACAGAGAGAAACAGAGTTATGTATTTATATATGTAGGCCTATATATATTAAATAAAAACAACACTCTTTGTAATTATTTAATACTAGGCTACTTTTCTAAAATGAGTTAAAAAATATATACATGTTTTAGTTTCCAAAATGGAGCGCAAAAGTCTTAAAATGTAATTTTAACAATTTAAATAACTTAAACAAATATTTAGAAGTTTATTGATAATAGTCTAGTCTTTTGTGTCATTAAGATTTTAGGCAGGATTTTTTTTTCTTTTTCTGAAGCATATAGGCTATTGTTTTTATACCAACAAATACTTAACATATTGGATTTAATTATGGTAAATAAAAAAAAAATATTATAAATCTAATTAGATTTAACAACTAGTCAATTCATGACTATGCATGGTTTGTATTTTCTTTCAAATTTATTTGAAGTCACATAATCAATGCATATTAGTTGTTGGCGAAGTCGTTTAAAAGCAAACGTTTTTGGCTATTTTAACTTTAGAAATAATGATGTTAGAAATAATTTTAAAAAACGGTTTTAATGTGACTTGCAACTCAAGCGTTTTATCTGTTGGTGTCGACAGCACGCCGGAGAGGATGCTATCCGAAACTTATCGCAGCTATAAATCAATCTCTTAGTCACCTGGTAATTAATAAGCAGATATCGCGCACTGATTAGGATGATATGAGCAACATGACCGTTTTGTGTGTCCCAAGATGATAAGCGCACAATATTCCGTCTGCGTGGTTGTTCCCGTAGCGCCCGCCGCCAGCTTACCTCTGAGCGGCTGTGTTCGCATCCAACACTCCGGCGCCCTGCATCCATGTCCGGACAGCGTTCATCCCGGCACCGATGGGCTCCTCTTTCATACTACTCCCGCTCCTTTGAATGCTGTCTTGAATCCCGAACATGAAAACAGACTCCTGTCACCGTCTCAGTCGGTGCTGGCTTCTTTTGATCGCTCCGTTAAAAAAAAAAAAGACAAGGAGAAGTGTATGGGTGAGCAGGTGTCACCGCGTTTGTCTTTAGCGCTTCCTCTCTGAAACAGAAAATAGAGCGACGTGCCAAAAGAAACGCGAGATGTCAACATCCAGGTTTGGGAACACCGTGCAACAATAAACAAACAAACAAACAAACAAAAACTGTAAGATTAGACTGGAGGTCCCTTTGGTCTAGCGTGCGCAAAAAGTCTAATGTCACTTTAAGAAACAATAGGATCAAGAACGAGCTTCGCTGAGGGTTAGATCAAATGTCATCATCCAGAGACTTTTTTCCCCTTTATTTTCTCCTTCCTGTCTTTCTCCACAATGAGTATTCTCTGATCAAATCACATGAATGAGCAATATGAAATCAAGCAGAGGTGGACCCTTGTGGAGACAGCTCCCTCGCTGTTCTCCTTGTTCAAACGGGAGTGATTTGTGTCCTTTCCCAAAGGAATCCGATTTGACTGTCTCTGGGAACTAAACACAAGCAAACTAACCCCAAAGGGAGGAGGAGGAGGATGAGGAGGAGGAGGGAGTGACTGAGCACACAGGGCCGCCCCCCAAACATAAGTAAAGCCGAACTACCATTAGCTGTCCATCCAACCACGAAGCCCGTCGCCTAATTAGATATCACAGCTCGCCCTGCCCACTTAGCGAGCAGCGAGTTTAGAGCGAAAACCAGTAAGAAGTTATGCGCGCGCCGCGAGTTAATGTCACGAGGGTAACTGCCTACCGGAGCGCGCGCTTGAAGCCTGTTTGATGCAGTTCACATGAACGCTGAGTTATTTTATATGTATATTGTGTTTTTATTTCAGAAACAGCACAGTATGCTAAGTTTGTTTAAATAGTTTAGGGATGAGCTAATGTGTGGATTGTTCAATAACTTTCTTTCAAGGGTTGGATTTTAAAAGGAATTCCTCCAGGAAATTTCGGGGCGCAGTTTGTTGAGGTTTGTCTCGGTTTGTAGGCTACGAATCTTTTGCCGCCCCTGGCACACGTCAACTAGCCTATAGGCCTACAATAAAGACTTTTTTAACTTTTTTCTTTTTGTTTTGTTTGAGAAATGTGAATAGACCCAATAAAGTGATCAATAATAGCGTTGTTTATTTATTTATTTATGTATTTATTTTATACTGATAATTGTCTTGGCACAAAGTGCTCAAGCCACCCACTGTTGCTATGGTTACCTGCTAGGCAAACGCGAATTTTTTATTTTTTTTCCTGTTCGTCAGCGTCTGTTTATTTCCGGGGGGGGGGGGGGGGGGGGGGGAGATTATATGAACTCTTTCTAACTTTTGCTATCTAACTTTTGTGGTTAGTGAAACAACCGCAAGTAACCACAGTCATATTAGTGTAGGCTATTGTTTTATTTATAAAAACACGTTTGTCAAATAAAATTAATCAATATAGGCTACCATGATGGATCGGCTAAACAGACATCACCTGTCGTCGAAATAATGAGACCAGAGATTGTAGGCTACATGTAGGCTATCCCGTGTGATATGCTTGACAAATAATGTAAGGTGATGAATATTAGTTTCATAATTATAAAATATTTGTCTTTCATAATTTCAGCTGATCAGTTGTTATCAACTAAAAGTAAATAATACATTTATTACCAACATGACAAAGTTATGTAGGCCCACTACAAAAATAATAAGTTTGACGCATGTAATTTGGAAAAAAAAAAAAAAAACGTCATTGCAGATTCAGAAGTCACGTAAAGTTATTATAATCCATAAAACATCTGTTCAGACAGTAAACATATAAGAGCAAGCATCGAACAAAACTGGAAGACTCAAACAATTTAACAGCTGCTTTCTCAGATAGCCTACATAGCCTAAAACGACAACAATATAAAAGCCTAAATGCTGGGAGCGCAGAATCCTTTAAATGCACGTTGTGTTTGTCATTGTTCACACAAACAGTGTTTACAACTGTAGCTATTAGCTGAATACACTATAAAGCTTAGCCTCTAATGTTCAAAAATGAGCATGTGCGTGTTGGAAATGAAACTTTAACTAGCCTATAGGCTGAATGAAATCCTCCACAGATGACGGAGGAAATAGAGTCCATTTAATCCGTGCTGGTCCGGCAGGGAATCTGTGTATTCCCACACTGCAGTTTAAAATGGCAGAAACTATAGTCCCGGTGGAAACGGTGTATTTTCATTTGTCCAAATAAGAAACAGACCGGTTATTTAGTCGATTAAAGCACGTTCTACATTTGTTTTTGTGCATTTATGTAGCCTATGTTTGAATGAATGTATAGGACAAAATCAATAGCCTACACTCTTTTTTTTAACGTACGCCCATATTTTATAATAATCTTATAAAAATGCTCAAATTAACTTTTATATAAACTAATACAGGATTAACTAATTATATTACTGACAGCGACAAATTCGATTTGACAAAAAAACAGATGTCCACATAAATCACGCTGTCGTTGATAGCCTAATTGAATTCAATAACCATAAAATAAATCACAATGTAAAACAAAGTTCTTTTCATGTTAACATTAAATAAACAAATAAATAAATAAATATAAAATCAACCCTGTCAGTTTAGCCTATATCATGCAGTTGTCCAGTGTGCCACAACTTAAAAAAATAGCTTTTTTTCGCGTCAATGTCAGAGTGCAAGAAAGCAGCTCGATAATAATTGTGCTCATTAATGTAGCCTACCATTTAGCTATATTAAATAGTTAGGATTACCTATCACCTGCTTTGATTACCTATCGATTAGTCTACCTTGTGATTCATCTTAGCTCAACTAGGCCTATGCTAGGCATTTAGATTTATTGACAAATAAGAGTCTAAGTTGGTGGTGTATATGACAACTAAAATCTGTGCATATTTTGTACATACAATAACGACAAAAAAGTCAGTGGTTTGTGGAAAATAAAATAAATCGATTCCAGAGTTTCGGTCTTCTAATAGGATCGGACACAGGGGGCGCGCGATTATTCGTTGACAGCCCAACATTGCCATCTTGTGGCCACACAGGGAAACACGTTTGGAAGAAAAAAATGAGTGAAGTAAAGATATTAATCTAAAATTATTTAGGCCTACTCGCTCATGTCAATCCAAACCAGTATGACTTTCTTTCTTCCTTCAGTGAAACACAAAAAGAGAAGTGAGAGACAGAGCCTTGATCAGTCACTTTTCATAATTAGTAATGATTTGTTTTTTGTTTTGTTTTTTGTTTGTTTGTTTGTTTGTTTGTTTGTTTGGTTGGTTTTTTTTTGAATGGTGAATGGTGACTGAAAAAAAAAATCATAAAGTAGCAGATTTTTCATTTTTGGCTAAACTGTCCTTTTAACTTATTAGATAGCCTAGCTTAGACATACCTAAATTGTGATCACTTCTGAATAAATGCATAAAAACAAAATCTTTATCAAGATATAGTTTTGAAGAGAGAAAAAAAAAAACTTGATCTTAACATGGCTTTCCTGCTGAATGCACACTCACATATTTCCATATTCTACTTTCCATAGAAATAATGATTTTTATACTGTACACTGTATTCTATTCCCTTACACTAACCCTATCCATCACAGAAAACATTTTCATTAAGATGTTTTAACAAGCTGCTGTGACAAAAAAAAATGTCCCACAAGGACAAGGATTTTGGATATATTGCCATCTTTGTGGGGACATTTTGTCCCCATATCGTAGGCTTTATCAGGCCACAACACACACACAAACCAAAACGAGAGGATGAGAAGCTCACACTGGTGTGGACCCGTGAAGACAACATAATTTATATTCTTGTTCCGTGAGAAAAAGTACCTAGGGAATATCATGGCCTTTCCAAAATGACCGAGTGCTTTGTTCCTGCTTTTCACATGTATTTTTTTTTTTTGTACTTTTTTCTCTATTATACACAAAGGTCAGAGTTCAAGGCTAACTTTGATCAGAAATACGGAAACGGGTTAAAGGGTAGTGCTCTTTGATTTGCTAATGTTTCCTCCATTCTCTTTTCCTACTCCTCACGCTAAAGGGAGTTAAAGTGCTCACACAGGAAAAGTGGATAAACGCTCTCATCTGCCTGCACTACACCTCACACTGCAGTTAAATGTGTGTACTATGCCATCACTTTAAACTCTTACTGACACATTTCCAAATGCACATAATATACAGTCAAAGAGTTATATCAAAAGAACAACCAGAGGTGGACAAAGTACACAACTTCCTTGAGTGAAAGTACAGAAGTTGTAAAGATCGATATATATACTCAAGTAAAAGTACAAGTACTCTTTTTTAAAAGTACTTAAGTCAATGCATTGTTTTATTACTGATGCATTGTTGTAGGCCTACTGTGTGCCTCTGAATATATGCCTACCTATCCTCATATCAATATCAAATTTATTTCTAGAACACAGTTCCAGTAGTTAAATGTGAGATTGAACAAGTGCACTCAATAACGCTCACAATGGTTTCGGACACCCAAATGGCTGTTTCCTCAAATAGTGTCCTATTTAAAGTTTTTTGGCTTTCTGATCTCAACCCGACTTTCATTTTCGACCAAAATCCAACGTCTGTCCGACGTCGGATGTTGACGTCAAACGTCATTTTCATTTCCAACCAAAATGCAACCAAAATCATCCCCGACTGACGTTAGGCTACTCATTTCTACTCAAGGACTTTGACAGAAAAGTTGTGGAGTAAAAGTATGACATTTGTCTTTCAAATGTAGAGAAATTGAAGTAAAAGGTTTACAGAAAAATGCAGAGACTCAAAAAATGTACTTATCCACCTTTTTCTGTGCCCGTTCTATTTCCCATGATTCATAGCGGGTTCAACTGACTGGACGGTTTTTCCTGCTGTCCCTTTTTCACTAATTGACCTTATGCACAGCTGCACTACTTCCTGAACTTAAGCCAGCTCCTTGTTTCCTGTCTGTCATTATTGGACAAATTGATTAATCCAGGTGTGCCTGACCTTAGTAGTCACAGCAACAATAGTCAGACACACCTGAATTAATCAAGTTCGGCCAATAATGGCAGACAGGAAACAAGGAGCTGGCTTAAGTTCAGGAAGTAGTGCAGCTGTGCATAAGATAAATTGTAAATTGCATCTTAATTTCAATCAATGTAAATAAGAAGTATATAGTAAACAATAGTGACTGAGGCAACAGCGCGCAATCTGGACTTTGGTCTCATGAATGAAACTCGGCGTAACATTAGGCCCTATATGCCTTACCTCAGAGGCCTGAGTGAGAAATGCATCTTTAAAAGCAGAGGTAGACAGTAAAGGACTAACCAGCCTAACCTTTTAGTACTGTTATTCTGCAGCAGTCGGGGTGATAGAAACTGTCGGATGTTTGCTGGAGATCGTGCAGTCATGCATCAGCTGTCCTTTGGAAGTTATGAAGCAAAGAAAAACGTTCATTTTGTTTTCTGTGATTTAGCCTAATAAAAAATAACGTGATCAGATCACATTTGATGATTGTTTTTTTTTTTTTTTGATTTAGTTTAGCGACGTGGGGATGACACATTCTAAAACACATGGCAATAGACCCGACTCTAACCGGAAGTTGACAACCGGAATCGTCGTCACGGCAGCACGCATTGTTTAGAGCAGAAAATACAGTCCTCAAGTAAATGTAGCTACTTTGTTACTGTCGAGATTAGGGTCCGTCGTACAGTATTTCTATAGGGGGAAAAGTGGTCAGGAAATGAGTGCATATCCTGTCTGTCTCTCTTCTGATGATTTCAGCAGTCTGGCATTACCTCAGTACTCAGGTGTGGGTCTGTTTGATTCATCACAGGTGGGTTAAGAGCCCTGTAGGACTTATTACACTTCAGAAAGGCACTGTGAAAGAAAGCCAGGACAAGTGTTTCATACGTTGGGGTTGGATTTATTCAGACATTCAGGTTCGCATCCAGGCTTCAGTGCATTTTACTGAATTCAGCTGCAATTGAAACAAAACATCATTTCCATGCAGAATAAAAAACAAAGCAGGATACATAATGCTTCTAATAGGCTTAGGCTATTGTTCTCACCGATTTCATTTAGATTTGCTTTTTCAATGAAAAAAATATGTAACAGCTTGTTCTAAACAACCACACAAACACACACACACACACACACAAAAAGGGGGTGATCAAAGCTGACATGTTCAAAAACAAAAGTAGTCAAAATAATATACAAAGCTATTAGTCATGTGATGGCCAATAACTGTTAACCAAAATTAAAATTATTTTTTATTTGTATTTTGTCGAAACAAAACACTTCAAATCCAGGTCAATTTAGGCATCACAATGTTTTTATGTAAATTATGAAAATGGATATATATATATATATATTTTTTTTTTAAAGGTTTGCTAAAGGTAACATTAAATAAGTATCAGTCAATAAATTATCATCACCACAGGTGAGAGCCCAGTCAGCCAATCAGATTTGAGGAACAAGTTTACAGTTTATGTCAAGTTTAGGCTTTACAACAAGGGTTAAGGGCTTCTGCACAATTATTGTTCCCCTATTATTTCTTTTTGATTTTAGGGAGAAGTTATGGGAAGAGATATGGTTTAGCACTACAGAAATGATGTTAAAGGATCAACAAAATATATAAATCCAGGAACATGTCTTGCTTGGCAAAATCAAGGTGAATTGTCTTTTTTACAGCTCAGAAAGGCACAGAAAGAAAGCCAGAACAAATGTTTCATACATTAGGGTTGGATTTATTCTGACATTCAAGTTCTCGTTCAGACTTCAGGCATATTTTACTGAATTCAGCTGCAATTCAAACAAAAGTATATCCTCACATAACATCATTCCACGTTTATGCTGTATATGAATACTCTCCATTCTCATTCAGATTATTTTTTTTAAAGAAAAAATATCTGTAACAGATTTAAAAACTGTTCCACATAAAAGTACATTTTTTTCAGATTTAAAGCCAAACGTCATTCATTTAATGAACTATATTAAACACATGAACTTAAACGCCATTCGCAAAGTGTGCTCATACATTCTCTAATGTATTCATGTTCACAGATGCGCTAAATGCCAAATACTGGCGAATAATTTTGACTAAAAGCGTCACCAGTGCTGATCCACAGCCAAAGGCACTTCCCACTATCACCACTAGAGGCGTTAGCGATCATATGAGCCTGAGGCCACTTCATGACACTCGGTGCTACTTAACACTGTACTTTTTCATATCAAAACTCCTCTACATATATATTTGTACATGGGTATATATTTCATATATAACTTCCAATATGCATACTCACCAAAATATTTGGTATCAGACAAGACAAACTTTGGAGGATTGCTTTACGTTACATTAGTGCAAATGCAGTGGCATATACTGTGTGTGTGTATATATATATTTTTTTCTCTCTCTAAAGAAAACTAATAGAGAACAGAAAAGAGATGGGCTACTGCTGTAGGATGCTGAGAGCATGCTAGTGCCAACAGAGCATCACAGCCCTATATTCAAGGGTCACACGATCACATTCAGGTTGGTGTTTGCTGGAGATTGTAGTTTCATAATAAAGGCCGGGGAAGAGCTGGTGTTTGGGTAGATCCAGATGTGTGATGGGTGAAATGATTCTCACTTCTTGATTCTGTGATGGTTTGGATGAGGGGGGACTGTAGAGGGTTTTTTGATTGTATAGATGTCTAATGAACATTCAGTGTGCGTAACCATCACAGAAAGCCGACAGTTTCCCATCAGACATTCTGCTGCAACACAAGAGTCTTTAGGCCAGCAGTGTGTGAGTTAGGTTTGGCTCGAGGCAGTTTAGGACTGGGAGGAGGAGCAGGCAGGAGAGGTGGAGTTTTCTTTTAGCTCAGCTGCAAGGTCTGACGCTGGAGTGTGAGTGGGGTCGTATTGCTGGGGAACCTGGAGGCTTGAATCTGACTCTAGATGCTGTGGAGGATCCAGATCCTGGGTCTCTTGTGGCGGGCTGTCCTGTGTGGAAGAGGCGGACTGTGATGAGCCTTTCAGCTGGTTGTGGCAAAGAGGGCATGTCTCCTGCACATACAACCACTTCTTCAAGCAGCTGGCATGGAAGAGGTGACTGCAGGGGGTGATGACAGCTGACGTCATGTCCTAGAATCAAGAACAGAAAAGGTTAGGTCTAAAAAATAAAATAAAAATTGTGCTGCCAAATCGATTAAATCGCATGTAATATAAAAGTTTGTATTCATTATATAGGCTACGTTAGTGTGTATATATAATTAAATTTATATACATTTAATATATATATATATATATATATATATGTCTGTGTGTGCATGTGTCTGTGTACATACATACATACATGCATATGTATGTATATGTGCATAAATAGATGTGCAATTATATATATATATATATACAGTATATAATTAATTGCGGTTAATTGAATTGACAGCACTAATCATTTTTGTTAAATATTATAATGTATAATATGATAAATGTATATTTATTTTGAGGTCTATATTAAAACAAATTATAATCATTACTATTTTATTATCATCATCACTATTATTTTTATAATAATAGAAAATGATATGATTATTATTAGTAGTAGTATCATCACATTATCTCCTTTGCTCCACATCGTGCCTAAAAACGGCCTTTAGCTGTTCTAAACTCACTTTAAACCACGGCTTCACAAGACTTATTGCTTTAGTCTTCAATATCATCCACCAGACAAAGACACTTTAAATCCAATCACAAAATTAGATATCATTCATGTCCATCCTAAAAATGGTGTGGTACAAACTATGCAGATAAGTTTAATACTTAGAGGACCTTGTGAACAAGAGTGATGCACCCAAACTGAACCCACCATCACTCTACCACAGAAATAGACAAGGCATGTACCTGGACATTCATCACAAACACCAATCGTCACATGCACACACACACCTGGTAGCAGATGGAACAGATGTCATTGTGCTGTTGGAGTTGTTGGTGAGAAGCTGTTGGCAAGCTCTTGATCTTGTTGACAGCATCTCTGCGGAGCAGGAAACTCTGCCAGCCCAGCTGGGCCCTCAGCCACACGTTATAGTAAGAATGGATGAGCACGATGGTAGAGCCCATCACGGTCCACTCCCCAAACACAGTCTCAGACACACCGTACGCGACCACGCACAGCGCAACCAGGAACTCCAGCAGCCTGTAGGTGCCGTTCACCCAGTAGATGACATCATCCATGTTCTCCACCGGAGCTTTGCGGATCTCCTCCACCATGAAGAGGATGTAGATCAGCAGTGTTCCCAGCACCTGGCAGTGACAGAGGCACAACAGATGAATTTCACATCACACAAATAAAACTCTCATAATGGTCAACTGTAATAAGCTTTTCATGGTTAATGACCAGAGAGCAGAGTGGATGGCCGATGATAGCGCTCCAATTAAACAAATACTTAATATAAAAATAAAATCATTCATTTATTAATATTTGTTATTAATAAATATTATTGGAAATGTTAATAATAATTTGGCATTTGCATTTTTACTGTTAATATCTTATTAAATATTAATAAATTAAATATTTAAATAACACTAAATATTCTATTTTTTTTTTATTTATAAATACAAACAATTATTATTAAATGCACACAAAATAGCTATTGGTTTTCTATCGTATAAAAATGATAGAAAAAACGATTATTCTGTTTAATTTTTAGCCTTGCTGTTAGAACATTTTAACCCAACTAATGATCTCACCTGCAGAGATTCCTTTAATATAGTTTTGCATTTTATCACTGTTGGTCCTAACGCCATGTTTTGTGCTTTTTTTTGTTGTCCAACATTCTTCCCCTCAAATATAGGATGCAAAGGTTCTCGTAAATCAGAGTTTCATTTCTCCTTTCTTAAAGAATGAATGATGTATATTTCAATTTTTATGAATTACAGGAGCTCACAGAACCAGTTTTATACTATGATAACGTTAGCGGAAAACAAGAACATCATCCAAAAGAAACTGGAAGGTTTAGTTTATATAAGGAATATTAGAAAGCTAAAAAGAAATCATATTATACTCTTCATGGTGTAGTGTAGTGTCTTCTATCAGAACTGCTAATGTTACCAAAATCCTTTGAAATCTTGGTGAAAGTCAAGATTATATTGAAATAACATATAAGGAATAAACTAAAGAAAACAATGGCATTCATAAATGTTGCTATTCCAGCTAGAATCAGAAAAAAAAAGAAAAAAAAAAGAAAGAAAGAAAAAGTTGTCTTGCAAATGCGCACATGTGACTGGCACTTTAAATCCAATGGCAGCAGAACTTCCTAAAAGCCATATTGCGTTACAGTTACTCCCATATAATTTTCTGAGGGTTTCTGACGCGACTAGCAGGTCAGTGGAACAAAAAAAAAGGTCTAGAGAGACTCCTTCAGCGCTATGCTTTTAGAATGCAGTGTCGCTGATACTTCAAAAGACACCAGACGCAAGCGCAATGGTCAAACGTAGAAAAAGCAATAGGGGTGCACGATTCAGAAAATGTCACGATTCGATTCGATACCGATTTTTTGTCTCGAGATTCGATTCAAAATCGATTTTCGATTCAAAAACGATTCTCGATTCAAAAAACGATTCGCAGGTCTACATAAATGTAGTTTACTTTTTCCTATGTGATTGATTGCAGTAGACATAATTTAAAAGAAAAGTTTGATATTACTTTATATGTCTTCATACAAAAATAAAAACTTTTGCAACTAAAAAGTGCGAAGTGCCAAGCTTTGGCCAGCTTTTAAATACATTTAATTCAAGTTTAAAATAAAACTGGTAACACTTTACAATAAGGTTCATTATTTAACATTAGTTAATGTATTTACTAACATGCACTAACCATGAGCAATACATTTGTTACTGCATTTGTTCATCTTTGTTAATGTTAGTTCATGAAAATACAGCTGTTCATTGTTTGTTCATGTTAGTTCAGGGTGCATTAACTAATATTAACAAGATTTTAATCAAGTATTAGTAAATGTTGAAAATAACATTAACAAAGATTAACAAATGCTGTATATGTGCTATTCATTATTAGTTCATATTAACTAATGTAGTTAACTAATGTTAACTAACGAACCTTATTGTAAAGTGTTACCATAAAACTTAAATAAAAAGCTTTTACATTTAGCTTTAAAGTGCTATAGTCAGATCAAACAAACAATTATGCTAAATGTGGTTTAAGGAGTAGGCCTACTTCAGCTACCAGGTTGACTGTTGAAATGTGAACTCGACTGGGCACATTGAACTTCCTAAAAATATATACTAATTTCATAGAACCCTTGCGAAAATATTTTAAATAGATTTTAAAAAAGCCACCACTACTGGTAACATCTATGGTTAGATTGATTTGTTTACATCCAGTGAAGTCGTTCATAGGCGCGTAATTTGCGGGTATCTCCAGTTAACTAGCAGAGCATTCATTTAGTTCGCTGTTAAATAAGAGATGTTGTTTTTGAAATCAAGCTGAGCGCTCGTGTCCGCTGCAATCAGTGTCATGGATACAGTGTTCTCTGTGGCTCACGCAGTCTTCTCTCGGACGCGCGCTTCAATCTATCGCCGTTGTGGAGACTCCGGTGAAATCACAAAATAAAATGCACACAAACGTGATGAACATATTCGGTTTTGATGAGAGAGAGAAAAAACGATACGAGTGCGGTTTAGAACCCGTAACCTCTGACACGCTTGGCAAAAGATCTACAGAGCTCAAACAGATCTGCGGATCGATGCATTTATTTACGGGTTGAGCAGAGTGGCTGCACAGTTTGACCAGCGGGCGGCAATGAACTTGCAATAACTATTTATCAGACCGGCCCTCGCAGCCTCGAAACCATAGAAACACTACCGGATTGCCACTCTGCCCCTGGACGCCATTAAAAAATATAGCCTATGAATCGATTTTTGGAATTCTATGAATCGATTCTGAATCGGTAAAGATTGAATCGCGATTCAAATGTGAATCGATTTTTTTGCACACCCCTAAAAAGCAATGCCGTGGAAAAAGCTTTCTGATGGTGTGTTTTTGAGTACCTGTAGTGAGGTCAGAATGCTGGAGGAGATGATGATGAGCAGCCAAAAGTCCATGTGAAAGAACTGACATATCATGTAGGACATGTAGGCCGGGAACACCAGCAGGAACAAGCACAGGCTAACCGCACGGAAATGCTTCCATAAGCTCCTGTTGGCAAAGATGATTATAAAATAATCAGAATACTGACTTACAAAGTCCACTTGCATAATACATGACTTCAACCTTCATTGTTCTGTACTTGTCTCTGGAGGCTCCCAGTGCCAGCACTATGGGATCAGCTATCTCCAGCATGGACTGCAGGATGGATGCCACTACAATGAAGAGGATGATGCTGAGGAGGAAGGCTCTGTGGATGACCTTTAGCTCGATCAGTCCAGTCTGAACAGCAAGGATCAAAAGAGTGATTCCCTCCGTCATGCCCCTAATAGAGAGATGAGGAATTTATGGACTTCTGGGAGTTCAATGATCAATTAAGAGATAAAAAGGTGCCATAATGAATCAAATATAGACTCCACGCCAAACTGTTTAGCAGGGTTATCATAAAGGTGTAGTTTAACTGAGTGACAGCTTGAATAAGAGGTGCAAAGCGTTAAGAAAAGTCCGAGCTCATTTACCGAGATTAATTTTTGATAGTAATGATGTAAAATATTTCTATTTCAAATTTGAACTTTCTACTTATCCAAGAATGTCATGTCCAAAAATGATGACATTTTCCACAAAAATATAAAGCAGCATAACTGTTTTCAACATTGATAATAATAAGAAATGTTTCTTGAACACCAAATCAGCAGTTTAGAATGATTTCATAAGAGACATCCTTAAAAAAACAAAATTATAATGATTAAATAACACTTATATAATAATTATTATTATTATTATTAATAATAATAAAACATATAATGTTATTATTAAACCAAACAAAATGGCAACTGACAGTCAATGCTCATTATGCACATTCCTTACATGGAAAAGAAAACCTTTACTCTTTTTATTACAGCTTGCTTAGTTTTCTTTTCTTTTTTTCATGAGAAAAAAGTTGTGAGGAACAAGATGGTATACAGTATGAAGGGTACATGATACCTGTGCATGGTGTTGTCATTCATGAAAGCCCTGTAGCCCTGCAGGTAGAACTTGCACAGAGTGAGCACTCCCAAAGCAACAAAGGACACGGTGAAGACCAGGCCCAGCAGAGAGTACGGAGTACAACAGCACTCTGCAATACTGGAGAGCATTTACAAGTTCAACACTTTATCAAATCAAAACTTTAAAATGGAAAAAATCAGGTACTCTCATATACATCTTATTCATCTAATTATGCTCAGGATTTATGAGCAGAGAAGCCTGAACTTCCACTCACCTGGTGAGAAAAAGGAAGAGCAGCCTCTCTCTTGATGTGGGCTGGTCTCGTGTGCTAAAATATGTGTAGATTTGCAGAGCAAACAGAACCAGCCAGAAACACATGAACAACACAGGCAGAACCAGCTGATTCCACAGAGACATCCCAAGAGCCAGCAACCCATAAACCTCCACCACCTAACAGAATGAGGCAGAGAAGATCTTAATTGTTGACTCTTTGATTTGACATTCTCAAGTCTGCCCTAAAACTCAACTCTTTAAGCCTATACTTTTCCCAAGAAAGGCACTGTCTAACCTGTGCAAGCTCCCGGTATGCTGTCTTGGCCAGGTTAAATGGTACCAGCAGGTTGGAGGCCAAGAAGTAGATGACTTCCAGGCCTGTGAAAATCATGGCAAAGCTATTGACGAAAACAATGGTCTCCAAAGGGACCAGGCACAGCCTGGCCACCAGAGGAAGCAAGTGCGCTGAGAACAGCCAAATGCGCTTGGTCTGCATCACGCAGGAGCATAAGGTGCACACCACCAGCTGGCCTATTCAAACATACACAGAGAAAGAAATAAAAAAACATCGTTTTCATAATAGAATTAAAGATATGGGCATTTTAGTAATAATACGATTTCTAATGATACCAAACTGCAATATGGTACATTAAAGCAAAGCACTTGAATCTGAGCTGTGTGTTTTTTCCTTACTGTACTCACTGACGTTAATGAATGCATCTGTTCTTGCTGGAGTTAATTAGGCCCTACATGAATTCAGAGGAATGGCTGAAGGATTCAGTAGCACTCAAGAACTCAATGAACACACTAGTGAAAGAGCAAGCAGTAAACTCGAGGGTCAATCTCACCAACAAGTGCTAGGCTTATATATCACCACAAAATAAAAAGGGGAAACGTGGATAGTGAGATTTTTTTTTTTTTTTTTGATTGCATAAAGAAAATTAAGCCCATTAAATACCTATTCAATCCCACTGTAATGCAGTACGGAAATCACCCTGTCTGTGTGTGATTCTGTACATAATGTTTATTTCTAGACAAATCAGCAAAATTTTAATTCAGATGTACTTTATATTTTTTTTATTATTATTATTTATTTATTTTTTATTTTTTTTGAACATGATAGCAGGCTAGACTGAACTTATTAAATGATGTTGTTCTCAAATTATATTCATGGTTTGAAATTCAAAATTTTAATGTTAATATTAAATCAAAATTATATATATATATATATATATATATATATATATATAGACGCAAGTAAAAATGTTACTTACATTAAGTGAATATAATATTTATTTTTGCTTTTTACAACTTAATTTCACCATAAACAAAAGCTAAATTAGCTATAACATGCAAGTAGAATTTTCACTGAAGATAATACTAAAAACATTTGTTAGTTAATGTTTAATTCAGTTAAGACAGAATAAATAAAGACAGAAATATTCTCTTTGAAATTCCTTAAATGTATATTTTGATGTCTTTTAAAAATATGCTTCATCTTTTGTTATGTGCAAAGAGAAAAATATCTAAATAAATAAATAAATAACTGAACAAAACAGGTTTGCACTGGTAATGATTCTCATTTAAGCCAATATAAAAATGCACTTTAAATAAATGAAATGTCGTTTCACTTTATACTGTACAGAAAATTTGAGGACATATTAAGGTATAATCGGTTTAATTGCAATATAAATAACATCATAACGCAAACATCATAATATTCTTAAAACAGATTAACATGAACAAACAATGAAAAAGCGTATTCATCTTAATTATTAACTTAATTAATGTTAATTTCAACACTTACCAATACATTATTCAAATCAAATTTGTATCAATTAAAATTATTGGTAACACTTTACAAAACATTTGTTAACATTAGATAACTAAATTAGTTAACATGAACTAACAATAAACAATACTTGTACAGCATAGTCAACAGTCATTTTAACATCTACTAATACATTTTTAACATCCAAAGTTATATTTGTTAAAATCAGTTAATGCACTGTGAACTAAAATGATCATAAAATGAACAAATATATTTTTACTATCTACTATTACCAAAGTTTAATAAAAGCTTAAAAAATGTATGGCTCATAGTTAGTTTGCTTTGTTAGTTTGTTAGTAAATGCATTATATAATGTTAACAAATGAGAGATTATTGTAAAGTGTTACCTTAATATTAAATGGACCAGAGCTAACATGAACCTGAGCTAAAATTAACAACTTTCCACATGTAAAGTAAATGTATTTCATATATATATATATATATATATATATTTATATATATATATATATATATATATATATATATATATATATATATATTTATTTATTTGTTTATTTTAGGGTGAAATATGACCTTGACATGTTCATGGTGTTGAGATTCACTCCTTAAACAGTATAAAAGTCAAGAGAAACACAAAAAGAGTGAAAAAGAAGTCAGAAAAACAGGTGATAAAAAAGCATGAGTCAAATGAAGGGACAGACTTATGAAATGCAATGAAAGAGAAAGTGTGTGTGTGAGAGAGAGAGAATGACATTATAGACAAGGGGAAGGCCGTGACTATGCCACTATTTGTGAGTGAGAAAATAAAATCAAATAAAGGAAGTGAGCAGGAGTGGTTTTGACTTTATGCTGGCCAAGGATGGTACTTATAGCAAAAGTGATGACAAGGGAAAATATGAAATCTGCATTTTTGGCACTCGTGCAGCATGTTTGAGGGCATGCGGCTTATGAAAAGAAAACAGGAGCGAGAAATGGCTTGATCTCTGACATCACATCCCAAGACATGCAAAAATACCTAACTCTCCACAGTGACAATGACACTACATGAGCACATATTCAAGAAAGAATAGGCTGCAGGGACTAAATGAGAGCAGTAATGAGTCGGTGTGAGACTCACACATGACAGGAATATTAACACAGAGTGCTTCTCTTGTGAATGATTTGAAACACCCATTTGAAGTCAACATGAAATCAGAACTGATCCTGTTTACTTTATAAATGCAAATTCAGTCATATTGTGAATGATTTATTTTGTGTGTTATTTTAGATAAAAATAGTTAGTGTATGGAATTTTAAATCAGAATTTGACACATGAACATTGCAGTCAGTCCTCTTCTACTAGCAACGAGGCTAAGAAAGAGACAGTAGCAAGAATGTACATTACTGACTGGAATGTTCTTGTTAAAGGTGCAGTGTGTGATTTTTAGCGACGTCTAGCGGTTCGATTGCGAGTTTGCACTAAGGACTCAGCCCTCTGCTCACCCCTCCCTTTCGAAGAAGCTACGGTGGCTAAAATGGGACAAACATATCATCGTCCGAGACAGCAGAGAATAGCCAGAGTAAGCCAAGAGTGTGTAATATTGTCACTGTTTCTGTGCCATAGTCCATTATAAACCACATCATGGATAAAGTTTACAAAGCCATAGTCAGGTGAGGATCAAGGGTCTTAATATATAATATAATAGTAATCAGCTGATTGTCTCACAAACGTAACCAGCACATTTCTCCCCACATAGCAAACCCATAATACAGCGAGGGAGAAGAACCACATGAAACTATGCAACTATATACTATTTCTAACAGGGTAGTAAAGTTTAGTTTAAAGTTTAAAGTTTTAAAGTTTAGCTGGCTAATATGAGCTGTTACTGTGGCTGAGCTGGTTAAAGCGTAAAGCATTGTTTATACTCAACGCGTCCGCATGATATGAGCCCAAAGGTGCGCGCGGCCAAAATGACTTGATTCTCTGATTTTGAAAACTCTTCACGATCGATATAAAATGCTTCCAAGATCGATGGGTTGGTGATTCCTGTAACGTTACTGTTTTACGGTCAATGACAAGAGTACTAATCAGCTGTCTCACGAATGTAACCCCCAACTAGCAAAGCCATAACACAGCGAGGGAGAAGAACTAAGTTACATGAAACAATCCAACTACATATTTTACACCACTGAGAAGGGAAAAGTCACTACTCACTCTGTTTATGGCTAGCTTAGATTTCTGCGGCTTATCTTTCAGGATAGTGACGAAACGCGCTCTGTAGCGATGTTTGTTTGCTGTCGGCTATGGTAGAAACATGACGTCAGAATATGTCGACCTTCATAGAAGGAGGTGACCGCGGTTATGTAGATATAAATGTCTCATTCTAAGGTAATAAAAACATTAAATTTTTTATACACCACTGAAAACATAGTTATGGATGGCATATTGCATTTCTGTAAATAGATACTCAAAATTACACATTGCACCTTTAAAATGTTTCCCCAATGGCAAACTTTGAAGGAGTAAGAATATTAGAGAGGTTGCAAGTGTATTACAGCATTTCAGTTGCTGCATTTTTCATGTATTACATTTTTGAGTAAGAAATATGTATACAATATTGCTGTTTATTAAAATGTATTGTTATACTGGTTCAAATAAATAAAAATGATATAGTATATGTATATATCATATCGAGGGCTTGGAGCCAGAGGGGCGTAAGTGGCTTTTAACAAACTTTACAGGAGAGACAAAACAAAATTTTGAGCACACTTCAATCACCTGTATTATTAACCTTAAATAACAAACATTGCAACCACAGGCATACTTACATGAATGAGTATTTAAGTAAAAAAATCTATGGCATATTAACACCGTGAACATGTTCTGAAACATTTAAAAAAAAAAAAAAATTCAAAAACGTCAGATAAGCCTTTTTGTTGCTTTATTCAATACAGTTTGATCTCAGATAGGTATTTAGGCACCACTGGATAGAGCTCATCGAGACCTTTATTTTGATATAAAGAACTCATATTCGCCCAAAATGCCACTTACGCCCCTCTGGCTTCAAGCCCTCGATATTTTATATGATCTAAATATTATTATTATTATTATAATAAATATAAATATATAGTGTGACATTAATATTTATTTTATATTAATATTCATTAATATTACAAAAAATAGTGTGTATTTATTAATATGCCAATTAAATATTGAAAAAAACTGATATATATTATTTTGGTCACACTTTTACTATTAACAATGTTTCAAAGCACTAAAAAAACAGCCAATTTCCTAGCCTATCATAACATGCATGCTAATAAGCAACTCCATTCTCAGAAAGAAAAAGGTACAAAAGCTGTCACTGGGGCAGTACCTTTCCAAAAAATCATTTTAGGTACTAATATGTACATTGTAGGTAATGCTGAGGTACCAATATGCATCCTTTAGCTACAAATTACATTTTGAAAAGATACCATGCCAGTGACAGCTTTTGAACCTTTTTTTCTGAGTGTAGTTAATAGTGAGAATTGGACTCTAAACTAAAGTGTTATCATAATTTTTCTGGTTTTATTTCGCCCAGCCCTTACAGCCATATTTCAACAGTGCACATTATATGAAAAAACAACAACAACAACAAACAAAACTCTTTGTAATATTTTATCAAAAAATAAAAACTTTCTCTGAAACAACTTTTTTTCAACTGGTTTATGCAACAACCACTTTTCATAAGCCAGTCAACTGATTTTTCTCACTGAATATCTTCCCCCAGAAATCCTTCACATTATACGGAACTATGGGATACGAGCAGAATTTGAAATTGACTTTAAGTATGATATAGTCTTTGGGGCCTTTGTCAGGCACTTACAGATGAGCGCAGTCGTGAATCGGTTGATGGACAGAGGCTCCAGATATAGTGGCCCCTCGTAGCCAGACTCCAGCTCACTGCGCACATAGTCCCTGAAACACAGAACAGAGACCTTATTCTAACCTCTCACAGCATGACATTCCCCGAGTCATCACAGCCTATGGAGGATCTATACTTACAGCCCGAGTCAGACAAAGCTGAGCCAGGGAACCATCAGTCCGTCTGTTTTTATCAGACTGGAATTCCTGAGAGAGCATTCACTTATATAACTCTCAACTGAGTCCCACTGAGCACAAAAACAACCACCACTGACATTCAGAAGTTGAAAATAATCATTTACATTTAGCTAAGGGATTTAAATAGGGGGTCCGCAATAGACATGGGACTTTCAAACAAAAGTAATATTCAAAGATCGCTGGGTATTATTCGATTACTATTTGAAAATCACACCCCTCCCCCACATTCACGCACACATGCATGTATAGGCTACACACCAGAGCATGTGAGCGAAGAGGAGCGGTGTTGACGCTTAAATGTAACTTAAACGTAAGTTTCATATTTATATTCTATCTATGTTGATTATATGAAAAGGGAACCGCATGATACGAGTAAGATAGGATGATAAGATGCCCAATATTTCAGGAGACATTTGGAGAGGGTCAGACAAGATTTTGACCAGTTACGCAAGTTTAGTTTTTTTCTAAATTGTATTTTCATTTTAATCATTGTTTCATCAACCAATTGTCCGGATTTAATAAGTAAGAAGCAAAGATAGCAGACAATATAATCAGGACATGGAGGCGCTGGCGCGATCACTTGCATTCCTCGTGAAAGTCTGGAACTCGTCTTATAAATGAACTGAAACTCAGCATGTGGCTACTTACCTCACAGACCTGAGGAACATGAGCAAGCTTGAAATGTCTACTTTTCTGAAAAGAAACGGGCTACTCTCTGCTTATGTAGGCTAATTCACATGAAATGTGTATTTCTATCTATAGGCGTGTTCACTGCAGCGAAGATGGCAAGTCAGCATCGTCAACTTTATCTTTGCAGCCGACACTGACACAGAAAACACTAGTTTATTAATGAACAATTTACATGTCTCTTTTTAAAATTCTTTTGCTGGTTCTTTGTGGCAACCTTTATGTGTGCGCTTGAGATGCAGAATAGGCAATATATTAAGAAAACGCTCATTATGGTTTATTTTCTCCCATATATATTTAAGTAATTTAATTAATATAAATATGCGATTAGACTAATGGCTTAAATAAACAACTACTAGCGGACTAGAAAAAAAATACTTTAATCGTGCACGGGCAGCCCAACTTATTTATTTATTACATAAGTTAAATTACATGTAATGTTTCTTCTTCTGTTGTCTAAGAGTTGATTGACAGCTTTTGGATGCATTATTGGCAGCACCATCTCGTTACATGAACGCGTCACCTCACCACTGCATCAGTACCGAAAACAAGGGGATTTTTTAAAAACATTTATCACACAACCTATTCGATATTCTATAATAAAATCAACTAATCAAATATTCAAAAATCGTGACTCATCCCTAGTCCGCAAACCCTAGGGGCTCTGCAGCGCTACTGCAGGGGCTTCTGCATTTTTTTAATACGCATTTCTTTATTTCAGACTCAAAAAAACAAGGTCCATAGAATCTTTTCAATAGAGGGTCCATAGGTCCATAGAGTCCAATTAATCTTATTGGTAAATTAATTGATTAATTTATAATATATAAAAAAAAAATGAGGGAAAAAAATATATAAATATACAGGTATACCATATAACCTTCTTTCATTGCCTACATAGGGAGAGTTTCTGAATAATATAATGGTAGCTCTTATTTATACAATTATAATGAAATTAGAGTTTTCAAGCTTAAAATATTCTAATCATAAAAAGCATAAAAGTGGTCTATAAGCTATATTTCAAAGTTGTGTCCCAAATAATGCACAATAATCTAATTACGTATACTTGTACTCAACTGTGTAGTGTATGAATTTTATTTGGTTATTTTGCATCCATTTTAACACTGGAGTCTGATAGCCCCTCCCCCTCTGCTACGTAAATAAAGCTGCAACAGTTTAGTGCATGAAGTGTTTAACATTCAACGATACTGTTTTTCGGTTAATTAAGTGCATCTTCTGGGTTTTAAAGTGTACTCTCTTTTCAAACTCATCAGTGTGAGTGCACTACTCGCATGTATTTATACTACAAAACATAGTAAAATAGTGCACAAGTACACGACACACCTTTCGACAATAGCTTTCGATGATCAAAATGGCTTTCCATATAACATCATAACAAATTTCTTTCTGGGTGTGAAATAGGGGACCAGACTGTTATTTGGGAGATGTAGACAGAATGGATATCACACACAAGACACGCGTACCTGAATAAACATTTACAAAGCTTGTTTCAATCCTTTACTGAGCCTGGGTTTCCTCAGAACGAGGCAGAGAGGGAATGGAGTGAGGTAGGTAAGTTATGAGCTGGCAGTAATGGCTTTGCCACACTTGGGTGATCTTAATTTGAGCAGCCACTGCTTTTTCCATAGACACACATTATGCTGAGAAATGTGCTAAAAGCTCTCTCTTAATCTGACACTAAACAGCCACCTGTCAAGAGCAAAGCACAACACTATAATCGCAGACACATGAGTATGGCAGAGGAGCCTCCAGTAAAGAAATGTGTCTGTCTGCTCACATCTTTACCGTCTTTCCACCTTAAAAGCATTAAATCCTAATCTCTTTGTGCAACATTATTTAAATATCCAAATACACTACTACTCTAAGTACAATTAAAATCAAAATCAAAATCCTATGTTTGTTCATAATTTAATCCAAGTATTGTTAAAATTGTTTTAAAGGAACACTGAGAAAAAAATGAGTAAAAATGGCAGCAGGGGTCACAGGGGCAGTACTCTTAAAAGGACGTCTTTAAACCTTTTTTTTTTTACCACAAAATGGTTAATAGTACTACCTTAAGGTACGTATTTGTACTCTAAGATACTAATATGCAACTTTTAGTAGTAAAAAACGTACAAATGTGTCCTTTAAGAGTACTGCCCCAGTGACAAGCTGTTGTATCCCGAAAGGTACCATTATTGCACCTTTTTTCTCTGTGTGAATACTGTTAATCTACATTTGTGTTCCATTGAGAAACATGGAACAGAGAGGTTTGACAGAGGGGAGTGAATAAGTGTAAAATTGTTCAAAAGTTTGGGGTCAGTAAGATTTTATTATACTTTTATTTACCAGGGAAACATTAAATGCACATAATTGATCAAAAGTGACATATCACAAATTATTACTGTTTTCACTGTATTTGATCAAATAAATACAGTAATGATCAGCATGAGACATTAAAAAAAATTACAAACTCACAAAACCTTAGAAGGAAATATAATATTAAATAATATAATATATATATATATATATATACAGTATATATATATTGTTCTTTGTGGGTAGAATTGAATAGGCTTGGGCTTGGTCCTGGTCCCCAATGCAATTAACAATGGTAACACCAATATTAATTTTCATGTTCAATAATCCAAGTATGACCATTAATGACCATACAAAACAGAATCTTTCTGGAAAGCAGGGTTGTTTTGATGGAAGGCAGCTTTTTCTGTCTATCTGTCTATATTGAAGTCCTAAACTCTCACCTTGAGATCTGATGACCTGCGAACAGCAGCAGAGCAGTGAGCACATACAGGTAGAGCTGCACCAGGTGCTGTCGGGGCAGCGTGAGTAGAACCAGACTCAGAATGTAACCTGAAAGAGAGAGGGATAAAGAATGAGAGTGCTGTTAGACCGCTATGTGAGGATGCTGTCAAGCACACAGAAGGGCATCTGAGGGCACATCTCTCTCAATATCCCTTAGACCAGTAAAGAGTCCATTCATTCAGACTGTCAAAGGACCTCACACAACCAGAGCACACTGACCGAATCTGGATATCCATTTCATTGATAGTCACACCTGCATAAAGAGTCTCTGGCTATGTTCAGAATACTAGCATACTGGTTCGTGAGCAGAATACACTACTGTGTCTGTATATACTACCTGCTATTTTTTTTCTGCTAAGTGGCATGTGAAATTTTCATGCAATATTAAAATAATTTTCTTTTTAGCAAATGGCATTCAATTAGCAATACAGAAAATAAACATGGTTATGCTGAATTGTAATAATTCAAGTCGGATCTTTTCACAGTCTGATGGACATGATGAGTAAGATTCTAGCATATGTATGTAGCCCATATTATTAATATACAGGCAATCATTAATGCTGGCATTCTGACCAACACCATTTCGAGAGTGATTTAGCTTTTATACAATAGTTCAATAAATAAAGTTACTTAGTAACTAACATTATAATCACAATATTGACAACTCCTTTGTCTATTTTTGGACCGCCAACAAAAATAGCTGTGTTTCCAGGCAACATGCTGTTCATGTATGAATCAGTGTGTTGGAACAAATCATTTGAGTGAATGATTAGAGGACACAATAACATAGACATAGACAGTTGCATGTTTAATTCCTGAATGAATTGTTTTGTTTTCGAATTATTCGGTTGAGTTACTAATTCATTCACTATGGATGTGAACAGAAATCATACGTATGAGTTATGAGTGTTAAAAAAATGCAATGGCAATGTTATTCAAACTTTAATTAGGTCGTTTATCACAAAAAAGCAGCCAACCAGCAAACTAGAAGATTGGAGAAAAATAAATACATAAACATAAATAAAACAAAAAATCCTAAGGCTTTATCTTAAAAATCTAGTTTGTTTAGCTATATCCGCCTACAGTATGTTATGGCCATCAGTGAGAAAAATCAATTGGAGGATCTAGAATGGGAAATAATTGGCTAATACAAATTCCAAATAAATTTTAGGTTATTGGAATGTTTCCATTAGACATTTAACTTATACACACGCCTCTGACGATGCAATATTTCCTTTAAAAAGGCACTTAAAATGTAAATACATTTAGCATCATGTCATAATGAACACGAGTACTGTAGTACATGATTCAACCTCCAATCTGACATTAACTGGCTCACGCTGACGTCAGTGTGTGTGTTCAAACGAGTGTGTGTAGACAGGATGAAGCAGGAGATTAAGGCTTTTGCCGTGCAGATTAGGCATTCATTACTCCACTGCCAAACCCTCTTGATCCCTCCTATTGCGTAACTGTTTATCTGACATTCAGCACTCATCCTCTCACCCGCTCCTCCAGTTCACTTCTGCCATTCACAAATATGAAAACATGTGCCATACCCCACCGTCTAGAACACAGGAGAAATACAAAACAGTGGAAACATTCTACTCAATGGCAGGAAGGCACAAAGTTTATCTCAGTATATTGATTAATGTGGAGTATCCTGGCACGCTGCGTTAAAAATGTAATGCTGAAATATGAGGAAGCTATCGCCAGGTCAGAGAGCAGAGGAATTGGCCAGCTTTGTGGCTGGATAAAATGTTGAAAGACAGCTCATATTATCCATAGGTAGTAAAGATGGAAAGTGCCTGTGATCTTGCTGACAGTAGATGTTCTCCATGTCTTAATTTAACCTCTTTGCTATAATGCCTTCAGCCAGACTAAACTTGTGTGTGTGTATAGCTAAAATAAAAATAAAAAGCAGGGAGGCCACAAGTACATTATATTTCCTCAATATGAATGACAGAATATATAGATATTAACTGTTTGAAGAAAGAAAAGAGCTGCTCTGCAGAAATGTCAGCTCTCTATTAGTTTTAATGTGCCTGCAGTGTGTCATTTTAAAATTGAAGTGTTCCAACAGACAGGACAGGACTCTTTTTTGTGCTTCATTATAGTGTAAAATTCACAGGGGCTTTTCAGGGCCAGGTGTTTTTTTTTTCAACACTAATACATTACAAACCCAGCAAGCCTGAGATTAAAGTTTCTCCCGACAGCAGTACTTTTCACCTGTGGGAGCTTCTGTACTTGGACTCTGTCCGACATTCAGCAGGGGGTCCTGAGGGTAACACAGCACCATCGATATTGGACAAGTTGCACCTGCAGAACAAAGCTGCGGCCAAGAACAAAAGCTGCTGAATCTATATTAAACAGAACACCAGTAAGGGCTCTGCTAGTGGTAGCTTTGAAATCCCTGCTGAAAAATCCAGCATTGCTGGTCACCAGCATAAGTTTTGTTTCGCATACAGGGACCAGAGTTGGATGCTGGTAGCTGGTTTGTTCGTCCCCAGCATAGAAAGCAGGAGTACTGTTGGATCAGCACCAGCTCAATTTTGATTGAGAAGAGTATGACTGGTCCACCAGTTCTACATCAGCTGGAATTCATGCTGGAATAAGCTGGATTTTTCAGCCAGGATGTCGTCATTTATTCTTCTAAGCAATGGCTATTGTCAGAGCATCAATACACTAATATAGTGCACTGCTGAAATGAGCAAAATAAAGTCATTTGTTTTCTGCCACTTTGTGAGCATAAACAGAATAACAAATAATGTCTGTTCGTTTTAAATGCTACATTTATTGTTGAGAATACATTCAACCTACTGTATATGTGGGTATTTTCAGTCAGTTATGTGGAAAGAGCATCACACTGACTTGTGTTTGATAAAAGAGTATATGACATTTATAAGAGGAAAAAGGGAAAATTGATTAAAATGTGCAACATTTTTAGAAATGTACTCTATTTATTTTGGCTTCGTATGTCTACTTCATATTAAATGTTTAAAAACATGTGGTAACACTTTACAATAAGGTTTCATTTGTTAATATGAACTAACAATGAACAATGAATAACTAATGCATTAACTAATGCATTTACTGTAGTTAACTAACACATTAACTAATGTTAACAAATGAGATTGTAAAGGGCTACCAAAAATGGTATACTGTTTTTAAGAAAGGTTTCAGTTTCAAAATTTACCTTTTCTTTTAACAAATTAAAAAGTAAATATATTTTTTACAGATATCAATGTTGTTTTGCACCAAATGACTGATATGAAGGACAAAAGATTTCTAACATCAATAAACAAAATGTAGTTTTGATAAAGTCATATGTAAAACAAATATTATATGTATAATTACATGTTTAAAAATAAAAATATATATATATGTTATAACACCCTAACACAAATTTCACTGTGCATTCATTCACACAATTCCGTTTTATTCTGTAAACTGGATGCACAGTATGCTGCATTGTTTTGTGCTTTGCAATTTGCTGGGTGGTGGTTTGTGTTCTACCAGAAGCTTATAGTACAAACATATCCACATGTAACCTCAAAAGCCTCCTCTCCAGGCTAAATAACAGCCACACGGGCAAAGCACACATACGAGACAAATCAGGGTCATTAGGGTTTATTCCTTTGGGTACTATACAAACATCTGCAAAAACAAAAGCCAGCTTTCCTGGAGTCTGCAGCTTTAATTAAAGTTTATAAACCATTTAAACATGGGGTTACTTGGGTGAAATTGCTCTAAAGTCTCTTACAAACAAGACCAAATGAGCTGAAACCTAAAAATAAAATAAAATAAAAAAAAAAAAAAAAAAAAAAAACATGCTCCAGAAGTCAGAAACCCATTTAGACAGAAAAAACAAACAGACAATTGAGAAAGAGGGGAAAATGAAGTCATTCCCAACAAACACGGTTTTAAATCACACACATCAACACAGCACGAGCTCTGTGAATAACTCATGATCTGTGTCTGTTGGGATGTGCAGAAGATTATTCCACGCTCTAATGAGTCTTTTTAAAGCTCAGTACATGGGGCTGTCTGAGAGACCTGTGGCCTGAACCGGTCGCCTCTGACTCCACCATTGTCAGAGCTAGAACCACAGGGTAAATCACATTGAGAAATAGGTTTGCATGCAAGGCTTTTGGATAGTAGATTTCAATCTTTCCCACTCTCCACTCATTCATCTTCCTGCTTGTGCCATCATTAATAAAATAAGTGTAAATTTAGACCACCTGTCTGACCTCTAGAACAATTTGTTTCTACCCTTTTCCAATCACAAAGAATCTTCATAGACTGCTTGACTGTCCTGAACTATAACAAACCACACTTTATCTTCCATCACAGCATGCTTTAGCCAACCAAAACTTATGAGAAAAAAAATATTTTATAAGGTGGTAATTTTATATGAATTAGTAGGGAAACAGATTTCATTAAGCAGATCGTACAAAAACATCTAAGGTCATTCCAAAGCCGATTTTTAATCCGATCAGATTTAGATAGTGTGAATGGTTAAAAATCACATGAAATCCAATCTTTACAAATCCATTTAAAAGTTACATCCATATGTGGTTTGAAATCCTATTTAAATCGTATTTCTGTAAATCCTTCATCTGATCGGTTTTCGCGTGGTTTATGTGACTTTTTCACGGCAAGTAAAACGTAAACGTCAGACATTGTTATGGAAAACATGTTGAAAGTCGCTGCTGAAACAATGCTGTGTTGTTGCAAAGTGGCGGAGGAGCAGAACATGACAATTTAACTGAGACATATTTTGAAATATTCTGCCGCTGCCTCATAAAACGCAGTAGTCCAGCACAACGGCATAGTACAATTTAAATAAGACAGCATCATGTTGCAGTTGTTGTTGCTTTTGGCATATGTCTACCAATGCAACATCATTGCCATAGAAGCCAATGCAGATATTCCGGAAAACGGAAGAGCTGCATGGACACACAAATCAGATCTGAACAGTTTGCGATATACAGTCTGGACAATTTAAATCAATTTCAATCAGATACACAAATAATCAGATTTGAACTGACAGTCTGACACATTCAAACAAATTAGCCACTAACTCGCCAAAACGTAAAAATTATGAATTGCCATTAAAGTGTGTTGGATTTAGCTTTGTAGGTAGTAGGAAGGGAACAGAGAAACAAGTAAATTGATCTATTGGTGAAAGCCATTTATTCCCTCACAGAAAAACATGGTGCAGAGATGGTAATACCATAGATGGAACTATATCATCCCAACACAGAATACTCCTCATTAATATACCATGGTATACATCAAATATTATCACATAAAAATAGGCTTGTTACTCACCCACATAGTGAAGGTAGAGGGCCAAGTATTTGTACTGGAAGAGGGGGTTGTTGTTGAGGCTGCTTCTCTGGATCTTCTGGAAGAAGGAGCTGACATCCCAGCGGTACAGCACCTCTAGCAACATGATACTAGGGACCCGCAGGCCCACATTCAGCACCGCCTCCACCCGCTCCTTCACAGCCATCACTCCTGACTACCGCCAACCACACGCAATTCACTGGCACTATCACACACCAGCACTGCACTGATACAAGAGAGGTAGACAGAAACAGAAAGAGAAAGAAACATTCATGAGTGTCAGTCAGTAACAAAAGGTGTTTTCTGTCTCGAGACAAGTTAAGCACAAGAGAAGCTCTGAAAACAAGACCAAAATGATTTATTCCGTGTATCAACCAAATACAGCAAACATACAAAAAGATTGTATGCAGGCTATAATTAGACAAACTAAATATAAAATGGACAGTGTCAAACACAGGTTATTACATAACCTGTTTGTTTCCTTTGGCCTGCTTGTTATAATTCACATGAACACATTACAAGCAGGAGCCTTAAACAGTCTAATATGCTGCATTGTATACCATTACCCAGCAAATAATGTGTTTGTAAATAACTTGATTGTCTAAGTTCCCATAGCACTATGCAGTAACCTTGTCTATATAGTGAATTACATAATGGCAAATGCAATGCATCTGTTTTGCACTTCTGTAGGACACCGTTTTGCAATCTGTTGTGTTGTGTTGTGTCACAAATAAAACGTATTTTTGAGATACACATGCAAGCCTATGTAAATATATATAGTGATAAATAGCCCATATGTTTGTTTTGTGTAGATGGAAAATTAATTAAACACTGGCAGCATGTTATTATGGTTACCTTGTAGGCGAATGCATTTCTGTTAACGAGTGTCACATACAGTCTAACTTTTGTAATATCTATGACCTTTGTGATTACTGAGACATTTTAAATGTGGCTTGTCTGTAAAAATAATATATTTGTAAGAACTTCTTGTTTGGATTTAGTTTGGGTGGGATCAATCCTTATCAAAAGTAACTTTTTATAAAACTCTGATTTCATAAGACCACAAACCCTGCTAATGTCTCTGGCTATTCTGACCAGTGTTAACTCGAAATGAACTATAGTAACCCCGAGCTCATTGAAAATTCATTCTATGAAACTGGCTGATCGCACAACGAGCCTGTTGCAGGATTAGTAAATAAACTCCTCTGCAAAAATGACTTATCGAAATAGTCCTAAATAAGAACAACTAATGTGAGGATCTTATGCGTTGATGTTATTTGTACAAAGGCTCAATGCTGCTGCTTTAGCACGTTGTGATAACCGGTGTTAAACGTTTTTTTTTTTTTTTTTTTTTTTTTTATAAAAGGGTAGACTTAGACATAGCCTAACGTTACCTCCATCGATGCCTTTAATCAAACGTTATGGTTATCATATTTGAATGCAGCTGCAGCACGCGGCTATTTAAGTGCCTTCTTTCTAGAGATGCTGCTGAACTGTTGTGACCTCAAGATAACAAACACTGACAGACCCCAGCTCAAAGAACCACAATTTACAGAGATAAAATAAACATTCAACTTACACGAATATGACTCTCGCAAGTGCTCGCGCCTACGATGTCCGACCTTTACTCTTCTGTCGGATGTCAACCATGTTGACGGAGGAATGAATGGAGTGGTTGGCGGTCTCAGGGAATAGCATTCCTACCGAAGAGACGCGGCGCGGTACCGAGACTCGTATCACATCATCCCGCAGCCATTACAGATTGCCACAGTGATCGGTACTGAGCATGTGCGCTGTGGAGAGCGGATTAGCGAGCGCCGTGGCATCATGAGGGCACACGTTGAAGAGCGATATAAAAGGAAAAGGAAAAAAAAAAAGAGAGATGGGGGTGGATAGGTGAAATGATAAAGAGTCAGACCAGGCGACTCAGCATTCACAATAACTGTGATTTTTTTTTGTTTGTTTGTTTGTTTGTTTTTTTGTATTAATTGTCTTTTTAGTTATTCAATAGCCTACAGCACTTTGGTCAGTTATGCTGTGTGTAAATGTGCTTTATAAACTAAATGTACTTAATTTACTAGATATTATTATTTATTTATTTTTATATATTTATTATTTATAAATTAAAACAATTACATGCAACAATTACATGTTTAATTTCAAATATATTTGTGGTGGGTTGTGATTGTGAAGTATGGAAATAAAGTGTCCCCAATTTATGGATAATTACAATAAGATTTAAAAAGGTGTAGTATTGTCTCTGTCATGATTCCCTGTAACTTTGTTTCAAGGGCTTTTATCTTTTTGTCTTGTTGTGCCTTTGTTCAGTTCCTGTTTTTTTAGTATTTATTTAGCCATGGCCACCAGGCCAGAGTCTCGTCAAGTAATGGCCGCCACGCCAGAGTCTCGGCATGTCATGACCAACACACCTCAAATTTCTCTAACTTGGTCGCAGCGGAGCTTGGTTTGTCGTGGATCTTTTTGATCACTGGATTCACAACTGAGGTCAGTGTAGAAAGTCCAGTGGTCTCAGCACCCTCAAGTCCGGTGGTCTTAGGGCCCTCAAGTCCGGTGGTTTCAGGGCCCTAAAGTCTGTTGGTTTCAGTGCCCTCAAATCCTGGTCTCAGCGTTCTCAGCACCCTCAATGGTGGTCTCAGCCAAATCAGATGGTTGCAGAGTTACTGTCACCATCATCTGTGATGGCTACCGCTATCTTGGGCTCAGATGCACTTCTACAGGTTCTCCAGAGGCAGCGGCTACTACAACTGAGGCAGAGGCGGGCAAATATTAACTCTCTGTCTGCCGTGTTACATCCAAGGAGGCCGATTATGAGCTCTATCTGCGCTGTCACAGCTGGGTCTCCTAATCTGCCGGTTCCAGCCTGGTCACTGCCAGCTCCACCTTGGCTCCCTGAACTGTAGACGCCACCTTGGTTCTTAGGACCATACCGCCACACAGGCCTGGCCCTCCATCCTTTTCCCTGTTCCACCTTCACTCCTCCACCCTCCTGGATTTTTTATATCAGTTTCAGGGGCATCTGAAATCCTCTCTTTGTGTTAATGACTTGTTTTATATTTCCTTGTTGTGCCTTTGTTCAGTTTCTGTTACATCTCCATTGTAATCTTGTTAGTTTGCATAAACCCTTTACCAAGTCAACTGATCACATACACCTTTCCTTCACGTAGTCTCATGTTACCTTTATGTAATTAAACCCTCTGTCCTCGTCTGATCATTGTCTAGTGTTAATGTTTCATTTTGGTGTTTACCTGTATTTTCCATGTGTGTAATAAATGTATTTTCATTGTTCCTCTGCATGAAGCATTTTTTGTGAATTATCACATCTATCCAGTGTGTGACAGCCTCTGCTTTCACACTCAGACACACAAAAAAAGAATGTGGTTAAAAAACTGATGACCTTAAATCACGTTTAATGGGGAATTATCATCTCCAAACCCCTAGTAATTTCTCCTCTTGTGGTGAACCACATCTGGCTCAGCTATTTACTCATGTTGACATCCGTACTTCCCTTCTATATAAACACATGATTAAGCATCATCTACAGAGTATGATAACACACATGGAATATACAGTGAATCATTCATGTCCATTCAGTTATGAAATACAAACACGTCACAACACAACAGCAGTCCCTAAAGAAGCCATGTGGTAAGATAACCAAAAACAATAGTTTCAACTGACAAAAGTCTCAAAAACTGTACAGGTCCTGGCCCACATCAAAAAAACAGTCTCATTATTACTTCTATTTGTATGTTTAGCGAAAGCTCATTTGCAAAATGACTGCTGACTAAGATTCAGAGAAAGAGATAGAGCACTATTGAGAGTGAGAAGACTATTTGCATGGCAGGTGCAAATGCACATATCTCTTCATATCAGATTTATTTCCACATATGAATGAGGCCTGAAACATCAAGTATGACTGAACTCTCGCAGTTTAATGACTTAAAGCTTCTGAACTCTTGCATTGTGTAGGCAGTAACGTTATGCACTGAACCAGGTAATACCATGTCAGTGTATGTGAATGGTGGTAGTCTTTCGTCCATTCTGTAGCAGGTCGTATGAGTCCATGTTGTTGATGTCAAGTAGTTTCTCTAAATAACGCTGCTTGGTGTTGTTATTTACTGTAGTCTCTCCCGATAGAACCCCTTTCCTTTTGATTCCCCCTTCTTCATTTATTCCCAAGAAACTGTGCCTTATCGCAAAAAAATGCAAACAAATATCAAGCTGCTCTCTCTCTTTCGCTATTTCTCTCGGTCTCAATGTCGAAGTAACCATGACAACCGCATAACGTGTTCTTCCAAGATGGCAATGCCTTCCACAATGCAACACGTGTGATGTCACATTCTCATTCTCAAAATATATTTCAGACCTGTGTATTTACATAAAATGAACATACACTATTTTAGGATACAATCTGCCCAATATGAGACAAAATATGAAAGAACACATTATATTACCTTTTATTATAGCCACAGACAGTGAGAATTGTGAGCATGTGAATGATTCTATCAGCCTATTAGCAAGAGCACATGTCCCAGAGGGAGTGAGACAATATTCTCTATTCTTCCTACTTCATTCAAGTAGGCCAGCAATCTGTACCCTCTTCACTCTAATAATGATGTTGAGGAAATGGTTTTTATATATATATATACTTTTTAAAGTCACACTTGCCTTGAAAAAATGGCCACTGATAAGGAGGGACTGTGGCTTTCTCAAGATGTTAAGAAACCAACCATAAATCAAGAATAAATACAGACAAGGTTTTGTCTCTTTTTAAAATGTATAAGATGTATCTTTTTAAAATATTATCTGTAATCATTTTAATGATTAGTTTATTTTCATTCACCTCCTTTAAAACCGATTGCTAATTTTGGTAATTAGCAGAGTTTCAGTCACGGCTGATCTGCTTTGAGAATGAAAGGCAAAATTGTTTGGGGTAAGTTCCTCAAAATGAATCACAAATTGTATCATTTCCAAAAACCCAGCGCAAGAGACAATTCATGGTGGTTAAGTGTCACTCACACGTGTTTTTTCCAGGCTTCGATAGAGGGTTTGTTTTACACAACATTTGAGCAATGAGTGATTTAAGTGCTTTTGCTTTGATGTTGTTGAACCGGGGGAATAGCACATTGTTTTGCTCCACTGTTCTGTCTTGAGCAGTGTGTGATCTACAGAAAAAGAAAGACGCTTGAACATAATTAGGACCCTAAGTCCATGCCTTTCAAATGTGTGTAATTTTTTGCAACCTACAGACTACATAATAGATCACAACTGGTGAGACATGACATGAAATATATATATATATTTTTTTAATTTAAACATGCAATCATAATAAATACATTTAATGCAATCGAAATGTATTACAGTCATAAATAATTCATTTAAGGGCATGATAGTGTTTTTCATTCTATTATAAAATAGATAAACTATTAAAAGAACACATACAATGTGTTTGTATTTAATTATACAGTATAAGACCAAAGTAGGTCTAATTGGAGTCAATCTTTGTTCATAATGGTTAAAAAGATTTTTAAAATGTAAAGTTTTATTTAATTATACATAATAAATTATAGCATCATGTACTTTGGTTTTTGGTTCCAGTGCTTCTTTTTCTGTTTCTGAATCTAAAAAATAAACAGAGAAAGTTTGTATTACATTGTGCGCAGAAAAACAAAAACATTAATCAATAAAGCATTAAGGATATTATTTTAGGCATAACGCAAATTAATCTCCTGCTAAAAAATAGAATAAATATTAAATACACATACTTGTGCAGGCTCCATTCACTCCAAGAGGAATTGCAGAATTCATCCCTCGCTCTCACACACACCGCCGTCCCTTTTTTCACTGGCACCTGGTGGCTTTGTGTGAGGTAAGTCTGAGCACAATGAGAACAAATATAAATAAATATAATAATAATAATAGTTTTAATTATTATATATAATATATATATATATATATATATATAGTGAGAACACATTTTCTCATATATATAGGAATAAATTCCATTTTAAAATATATTAAAACAGCTTTTTTAAAATTTTAATATTATATCAATATATAATTCTGTTTTTACTTTATAAAAATTAATGGTGAGAATCTAAATGAGTTAGAAATTATTCCAAACTAATTATTATGTGTAAAATTAGTTAACAATACCAGTAATTTTGGTTTGGAGCAGTCACATTTTTTGCCTTTCCGACAGCGAATCTCTTTCACTTGGAAGATGAGAGGGAAGTAGGAAGATGGTGTGTTCCAGGAGTGTGGATAGCCAACTTCTACAGATGTTTTATTGATCCTGCTAATAGCCACCACATCAGGCCTCACTTAAAAGAGGAGAAAAAGATTTCAGCAACATTGTTTCATATTCAGATGAGTGGCAAAATTCTATAAGCCCCATCTTATCATTTTTTAAGCACTCACCAATATCCATGATGTAGAACTTTTTGTTGTAGGTTTCTACAACAAAGCTACTTCTGAAGTATATGGTCAGGTTGATGCGGTCCACCTCCTCTGAATAAGCACAGTAGTCTTGATCTAAGCATGTGATACTCTGTCCTTCAGAATCCAGACTACAGCTGATGTTGCTTCCACCGTGAGGCCTGGATCAGAATCACACAGTCAAACATATTTTTTTTCTCTACATTCCTCACATCTTTGCAGTTTGGGAAACTTACCGTGTGGCTTTGATATGAGCAACATGCCCATGCCTGTTCTTATCCCATGTCCAGGAACATTGGAAGGAACCTCCATAGTTATTTGTTGAACAATGGATGTAACCTTGTTTGGTAATTAAATAAATAAAATAAATACACACTATAAACATAAAAATCATTTGCAATCAAGTGTTTTAAATAAATCCTTATATGTAAAGCAAAGACTCATTAGATTGATCAAAAGTAACAGTAAAGCTATTTATAATGTTAAAAGATTTCCATTTCAAATAAATCCAATTGTTTTATTATGGTTTCGACCAAAATATTAAGCAGCACAACTATATTCAACATCATTAATAATCAGAAATGTTTCTTAAATACCAAATCAACATATTGGAATGATTTCTGAAGGATCATGTGACACTGAAAACTGGATTTTCATAATAAAAATGTTCTTTTTATTATGAAAATGCTACACAACGTAAATGATGGGTCTACCTTTCTCAGGAGTGCTCTTGATAATCTTCTTGAAGGTCCACTGAGCCAGCACCAGTGTGTGATTTAGGTAGGAGCCCTCCTTGTCGAAACAGGAGTAATTTGCCCCCTTCCACCCCTCCACTGTGACCATGATCCTGTTTTCTTGAGCCTCCAGATTTTCATCTTTGTTTTTGGTCCATGTAACATTTTGCCCTTCGTAGGCTTCTCCACAAATAAGTGGCACTTGTACCATGTTCACATCTTTACCAGCATCTACATTCACTACAAGCACTGATGACAGACAATTGGAAAATCAAAATTAGTGGTGCCATTACATAAAAACAAGCCCACATTAAAATAAAATCCGGTTTAGAAGCAGAGCTAAATATCTATGAGAAACTAACACAATAAAAATTCTTCAGACATGATTAAAAGATACAAACCATTAGGTTTAAGTGTCCAGTAACTCTCAGTTGTTTTGATGGATCCTACAGTAGAGGACTGGGGAAACATCAATGTACATAGCAAGAGGAAAAACATCTGTTGGTAGAAAAAGGAGAGGTTTACTCTATGGTCATTTTCCTGTCATTTTGTAATAAATATTTGGCCTATTGTTTGCTATGGATGTTAAATTGTTAATCCTACTTATTGTTATACATTTATAAAATTGTCAGTTTAAATTAAAAAAAATCTTTCTCCTGAAGCAAAACTATTGCTTGTGGTGAACTCTTAGTCTACCATAAATAATAATAACAACTAAACAAATATTATATACAATTTGTTATTAAATAATAGTTAACATTTACAGTATTTCAATAAAATAATGAAGTGATGAGACTATAAAAGAGACTTACCTTTGATCACTCAAAAATCCAACAAGATTGACCTCCACAACCAGACTGACCTCGCTATGCTTTGTTGTGTTTTAGTGTGCAAGCTTATAAGTAACATGTCAGGAGGACAGAATTTCCCTGGCCAGGAAAAGTCCAGTGCAGGTTAGAGGAACCAAACACAGAATGAGCAACTCCAGAACCTGAGCTTTCCTCTGACTTCCTCTCACTTGAATCTTCTCACTGTCACTGAGTCCTATCTCTTCTCTAATAATAGTCTATTTATCATACATACAATAACAAAGCCCGTTCAGGAAAGTATGACGCTTTTATTGGACTGTATTACTTTTAGAAGGCAAAGATAGGACATGAAATTGCTAATTGGTTTCCAGTGTGGACTATTGAGCCTAAAGGGTGGGAAAGAAATTTAGTCAAATATTTGTTTTCCAAAACCTTGGGAATTTCTGCCACAAGTTCTCATCTGAAAGCCAGAGAATGATTTACCTGGTTGCGTTACTGTGTTTGATTTGCTTGTCCCTACACCCTGCTCTGCTGTTTTTTCCAACTCAAAAAAAAAAAAAATCCCCTTTTCACAAATTATCTCATTTAGCGATTTGTGCATTTAGGGTTCTGATTAGAAATTACACATGTAACACTGATGACACAATTCAGCATGACACAGGAAAGGTGTTCTATAAAATGCCTAATATAACATTTAGAAAAGAAAAAAGAAAACAGAGAACTATTGGCTCAGTGGTCGTGTCCGAAAGCTGAAAAGTGCTGCCCCATAATTCTGCATGTTCGATTCTGTGATTCAGTTGTTGCCAGTAAGTTACTGTAAAAAAAAAAAAAAAAACCTTGAAAAGTCTAACAGTGGTGGTAAAAGTATTAATTGAAGGGTGACGTTATTTCAACCCAAAGAGAAAAATGAAGTTAAAAGAAACAGTTCTTTTTGTTATCCATTATTTGAATTTAGACAAATTGTATTGCATTCTCTAACTGAGAAACACTAAAAAATGTATGATTATTTCTGCCTTTTGGATAGTCATGAGAGAGAAAAAACACTGAACTGTAAGAATAATTACTTGCATTTTTCATTTTTAACAAGAGGACAACCCATAGTGAAAAAAAAAAAAAAACTTATTCCAAAATTTTTTTAAAATAGATTTATTTCATACTATGTATACAACAAATCCATTAGCATATTTACAGTACTTTTTTTTAAACTACTGTGCCTAAAATGTGTTTTAATGTCACCAGTTAGGATAGTATGATCGCTGCATGACAGCAGTCTTCAAATGCAAGATATTTAAAGTGTACCTATCTTTAGTTGAACCTCAGTACTATTTCTGAATCACTAAAGTACATTAAGTACACAATTAGTTAGTTGATGATTAGTTCCAATTTAGCAGACAAGTCAAGTCAAGTCATTTATTTTTGCCATATGCACAAGTTACAGAGTACAATGAAAATTGTAAATGAATGCTTCTCCGCAGACTATAGACAGACCAAATAAAATAAACTTCAGTGATAAACAAAACAAAACAGAAATTACCAAATGATTGCTAAACCATATGAGACAAAATAAATAAGACAAGTGACATAATAAGTCATGATAATCATATCAATTCAGAGTATTTATATTAAGAATGTATGTCATATATGTCATTGTAGAATACTTAGCTTAAATAAATGTATTTCAAAAATAATTTAGTATAATTATTTTTCACATAGGGAAGTCATGAATCTGTAATTTTTATGAATCGCTCATGTGTTATTTTTTATGAATCTCTAATAAGTGGATATATGGTGGAATTTCACTGTTTTGAATAATTTTTGTGCTTTTGTTTTCCTTTCCTCAGACATTCAGTTCTACCTTTTCATGAAGCATGTGACTAAAATGGGGAAGAAACACATAATGCTGACCTTCAATGCTGGATTGGGATGCAGACAGAGAAATTGATTTTAAAGAGTTTTAGCTGATGCTCTGCTTTGCTCAGTAGTGAAGTAAGACATTCTCTTACAAAACATGAGAACATCAAAAACAACCCCTCCACACTTTCCACAACAACAGGACCTACAATATCTGAGCAAAAAGCCACTTCCCCAGCAGGAAAACCCCCATTTATGGACAAATTCCCTCTGTCTTTATCATTGATATTGGTTATTGAGATCAAGAACAGCAATGCTGTGACAAATGTCCCTTGTGCTGAATTGTGTCTGTGTACGTAGCATCATGCGGAAAAGACCTTCATCCATCGCCATTCCTGCTCTGTGTTTGAGCTGCTGTAATCAGTTCACTTCCTTAAAAATAAAAAAATAAACAAATAAAAAAATAAAAAAAATGTAAACCCTTTGCTTTGTAATTATTAAATAAACTAGATAAACTAAACTAAACTAAAACTAAATAAAAAAGTAATTTTTGTACTATAATATTTTGTAACTATAGTAATTTTTTGTAAATAAAAATAAGTTAAGTGAATTTGACAATTTTAACTTAATCATTTTAAGACAACGGGTTTCCAAAAAAAATTTAAGTTTAGTCAACTAATCACTTTTTACAGTGTAGCAAAACCATCACCTCAAAAAAATTCTGGCTTTCGGATTCCCCTTTGAATTCCTTTTTAACCTTTAGAGTTCAGCGCTCAAAAATCTTTTCACCAGTTTGACATCAATAAGGATGAGGTAGATTTTACAGCTACAAGTGCTGCTTAAATATTTAACTGTTAACAATGTTTAACATCATTCTAGAACCCCCTAATGCAAGTATACCACTCATATGCGACCAAATTTTGCACTAGGTGAATAAAAATCTATGCCATTAGCCACTGACTTAAAATTTTCACATTTGTCTTGCTAATGATCAAGGTTGATGTTAAGAAGACGTTTAGCACAGATATATTTTTTACCGTGAGAGAAACACATACCACGTAAAGAGAATTAACACAATGTAAATGGTGTTTTCTTGTTATTTTATGTAAAATTGACAGATCTTTTGAATTCTTTAATATTGTATCCCTTCACAAATGAAGCCTTTAAAGTCATCATGCTCAAAATTGACCATTCTTATTTTTCGGGTGGAAGTGAGATAGGAGGGCAGCAGCAAACCCTCCCCCGGTTCAGAAAAGCACGCTTCACTGTAAAAAAAAAATATTTTCAAGATTTGTTATCACAACCTAGTTCAGATGCAAAAGCCTCTAAGTGCCATTTGAAATTTTCTTCTAGAATGGTCATTTTTATCAAGCTAGTATATTTAAGTTCAGTGATTTCACTTAAATGGCAATGATAATTACCTATTAATTGTTATTTAAGTGAAACTAATGAACTTAAATATACAAGTTTGATAAAAATCATCATTAAAGAAGAAAATTTCAAATGGCATTTAGAGGCTTTTGCATCTGAACTCTTCATATTTTATTTTGTCAAATCAACTTTATAATAATTTATTTAGTTGAGATAACTTATTACAATTTTGAGATTCTGATGATTAAATTAATCTCCTTCATTGTATTAACTTTTTCCAGTTCTATCAACTTAAAATTTTAAGGCAACCCTTTTAAGTTAAACCAACAATAATTTTTTTACAGTGTAGTAATCACAACATTTTTTCTCAAATCAACTTAAATAATTTATTTAGTTCAGATAACATATCATTTTGAGTTTCTGATGATTAAATCATTCTCCTTCATTGTATTAACTCACTTTTTCCAGTTCAATGAACTTAAAATTTTAAGGCAACCAGGTAACTTACTTTTTTAAGTTAAACCATCAATATTTTTTTACAGTGTGGGTTCTATTTGTTGCAGGGGGTTAAGGACGCATCTGCCGCTTTACCCCGGCTGTTTGGCAGAGCTTATATATCGTCAAAACCCATGTCTCCTCTTTCTCAGGTGCCAGGGATGGGTAAGTTCACCGACCTCGAAGGAGCACAAGAAGCAGGGTTAATGTCAGCCCCTCCAATGGAGCATTCGCTTGCAACATATCTGGCTCCAATGCAAAACAGAGGTATTGCAGACATCCCCACTCTTCCGTCAGGACCGTGCAGGTTCTCGTACAGGCAACTTTATGGCAACTTAGGAGGATTTAGGGTGATCGGCCGGCACGGCTAGAGCCTTGCGCACTATGTCCTTGCTACAAACTTATCAGGCTATTTCCTTGGGTGAACTGAGTGAGGCCGTGACAGAGGGAAGACCAGCTGACGAGTTCATAGAGGAGGTGCAGTCCACGGCTGACTACATACTGCGTACAACACGTTGCACGTTAGTATCCTTGGGTCATACGATGGCCAGCACAGAGGTGGCTCAGCATCATCTATGGTTGATTCTGGCGAACTTGCAGGATCGTGATTGGAATGCGTTCCTCTGCACACCGATCTTTTGAGAACTCTATGAAACAGGTGGAATCTCTCAGGGGTCAATGCCTAGAAAAGGTATAATAGAGCAACACAGTCAGCTGCACAGCCGAGTTTTAGGTCGTCTTCTCGACCACCACCAGCTAAAAGGCCCGCTGCAGCAACAGTGCCTAGGCACTTGATTTGTCAGAACAATCAAAATGTTTTAGAATCACTGAACCTTGTATTGTCATAAGGGGTAAATGCAAAGATATGTGCTATCCACCAATCCTTGGTAAGAGAGGTGGGGGGTTTTCCCAGTCATGCCGGGCATCCTCGCTGTCAACCTGGACCGCACCAACACCATGGGTTCTTCGCACGATTTAGCGCGGCTTTCGGCTGCAGTTCCTCTCACGACTCCCCCCAGAGATGGGCGCGGAGCACTGGTCTAAATGTCACATGCCCAAAAATGTTTATATTGCACTTGATTGTAATCCGATATGTACGCCATGCACTTATTTATTATTATTAACTTTTGGCAAAATAAAATTGTTTGTAGAAGTTGTTTTCTGTAACTTTCTTTACCTTTTTTTGTTTTTACCTGCGCTTTGCCATACTGCTGTTTACTTATGCAAGCAAGCTAACATTTATGAAACGTGTAGAATACTTTCCAAACCATTACATGTAGTATTATAAATTCAGATGTTTGTGATATAAAAGAATAAAACATTGGAATAACTTTTAAAATTGAGTGAACACAGAGCAGTTTTTCCTTTGAGTGGGACTGGAACATACATATTGCTAAATCCCAATTTGCTAAATCCGCCAGTGACTATACAGTAGTTACATGCATTATTTACAGACATAACTTCTCTGACCCTGAAACCCTTTAAACCTTTGAAAGTTTCTGCCACAGTAGTTTATTTAGTGAAACTGAGCTTTCACACATATACAGCCGAGAGAAGAGACGAGGGAGAGTGAGTTCACTTCCCACATTTACCACTGAAAGGGAAGTTCTCCAGTCACCTTCACCAGATGACAACAGTGTCCTGTGACACTGTCCTTTATGAATCTCCTTTATTACACGTGACACATTTGGCATTACTTCGGTTTTAATCAAAATAATTGTACAATCATCTCATTAATGTTTTAACTTAAAGCAAAACAGGTCCCTTGTAGATTTTCCACATTACAGCCAGAAGAGGGTAGTAGTGTGCCAGTTCTGTGTAGAAGAAGACTCTTACTTCTGTAGTCACACTCTAAAAAATGCTGGGTTGTTTTAACCCAACTTTGGGTCAAATATGGACTAACCCAGCCGTTGGGTTAAATTTTTACATTACATTTTTAACCCAACATTTCGGGTTTGTCCATATTTGACCCAAAATTGGGTTAAAACAACCCAGCATTTTTTAGAGTGCAGTATCTGAATTCAGATCTGCATTTTAGTCTACTTCTATTACCGCATCTTTACACCATGGCAAAGTTTGAGGTCAGTATGGATTGAATGGCAGTATCAAAAAATCATAATTTACAAAAGATTTCTATTTTAAATAAATGTTGTCTTTGGACTTTCTATTCCTCAATGAACACTGAAAAAAAGAAAAGTATCAAAGTTTCTATAAAAATATTAAGCAGCATAACTTTTATCAACAATAATAAGAAATGTTTTTGAGCAGCAAAATAGCATTTTACAATGATTTCTAAAGGATTATGTGACACTGAAATTTGGAGTAATGAGTAACTCACTCATACAAAGTAAATTATTCATCTTGGCAAATTTGCAAAGTATATGGCTGTTTATGGGCTATGGCTACTTGTCATGTTGGTTATATTGATATTAATTTGATCTTAAAAACAAGAAAAAAAATGTTTTTTCTTCCTTAGAAGAAAAAAGATTGCTAAATCCGCCACTGACTATAGTTCCATACATTATTTTATGAGTTGCTGACATAACTTCCCTTGACCCTGAAACCCTTTAAACCTTTGAAAGTTTCTGCCACAATAGTTTTTTTTAGTGAAAATGAGCTTTCACACATATACAAAGCAGAGAGAAGAGACGGGGAGAGTGAGTTCTCTCCCTCGAGAGTCAGAAAGAAAGAAATTTATACAGGTTTAAAACAACTTGAGGGTAAGTAAATGATACCAGAATTTTCATTTTTAAGTGAACTAATCCTTTATAGTATATTTAATTGTGCTAAACTATTGCAAGCAGGTGCAGACATGGGATTTGACGTGCACAGGGGGGTTCAGGTTGCCCAGGCAACTGCTCATATGCCCTTCTCGGCTCATGATGCCCTTCCGAGGGGGAATAAATAAATAAATCGTACAATGGATGCAGAATTTCACGTAGGCCTAGATAAAAAAATAAATAAAAAAAATCGCAAAGCCTCATTCACTTCCATTCGGGCACCGAAAGTGAAAGTCAGTAGGGGAAGGGCAAACTCTGTTTACATGGCTTTTTTCAGGTCAGTGCAACTGCCCCTAAAAATTCCTGTGCACATCCCTGATTGCAAGGATCCTTTAGACTTTAAATATCTTGCATTTAAATTCTAATAGCGATATTAAACTACATGTTAGGCTTAATATTAAGAAAAATAATTCAAATAAAGTATAATTATTTATATCAGTATATCACTATATCAGTATCAATTATATTAATGGATTTGTATTATCCTTAGTATGAAATAAATGTATTTCAAATACATTTTGAAATAGGGTTTTATTCAGTAGGGAGAAACAGGGCAAGAGTGAGATCAGGGAAAAGCACAGAACCTGCTTTTGAAATCTTTCTAACCTTAAAGGTCCTGCTATCACAATACTTCATCCATCAGGGACAAGACATGTCAACCGCAGCCACCACCAGACAGCAAACTGAAACAGGAAGCCTTTAAAAAACAAAACAAAACAAAAAACAACCTTTTATTACTCATCCGCTTGCTCCACACACAAAGAGCTAAGAGCAATGTGAAAGATGTCAAATGTCAGCCAGGAAGTATAACAGTCGAGGTGCTGAGTTAACATTTGTACACAAAAAATACAAAAAGTGTTTATAAGCTTAATAAAAGTTAAATTAGCTTAATAAGACAAAATAGGTTTTAAAGTTAGCATGAAATGGAAATTCACCATACCTATTTTGTAAAGGCATGTTATTATTGATTGTGAGCGATTCATTGATGTTCATTTTTTTTTCTTTGCTTTATAATTTAGAACCATTTTTAATTACAACTTGACCTTCCATTGAAATAACAGACTTTTCTCTAGTGACATTGCCAGACTACCCCAATCATTCAGTCTGCATAAACACCTTTCTTACAATGGACTACAAGCTCACATTCAGATCTGCCTCCACCCAATCAAGAACCAGTGGATTAAATTTAAGTCTCTGCCTTACATTCCTTTTCTTTTTCCTTTTTCAGTAATCCATGTTACTCAACTCGGATGTACTGTATATGTTACAATAGGGAAAAAAAAGACCTGTCACTACTTTAGTCTACTGCACTACTACAGCTTTAACAGTTCTGGGCACAATCACAGAAAGACCTAACAGCACATTTATTTACAAGTTGAATCCGAGTGGGACATTTAACAAAAGTAATTTGCAGCTTTTTTATATCGCAATTTTAATCCTGACTTGAACAGAATTCAATGTTTTGAATTAAAGAGAACTAAATAGATGATTTAACATTTAAAGAGATGGTTTAGGACATTAACTGTGCAGAGCATAAGATGGATCTAAACATACAGCAAAGGGTAAAAGTAAATCCACAAGGATTTCTAGTCAGTAACTTCATAACCATGCAAGGGAGCTCTCTCTTCAATAAGAGGAGGGTAAAGGCTCTGGGAAAGGTGGTGCTTCACCACCTGTCTGGTGCCATGGCTGACAGATGGATCAATAAATGTAAGCTTATCATGTCAGAGTCAAAGGCGGTAAATCAGGGTGACTCAGAAAAGATCCTAATGAAAAGCAAACCCTCACCCAGATACTGATCACAAGTGTATCAAAGCTATAATGAAAGCCAGCCGGGCTTTATTCTCAGAAGCAGTACAATAGACTCTCACGCCATGAAAACCAGAGAAACTGACTATCAAAAAGTCAAATGCGTCAAATGTATTGATAAAGTTATGAACAATACCTGATTTTATAATTCTAAAGTAGCCTTTCCAAATATTGGCCCTTTGCTATCCCATGGTTCTGGTATAGAAAATTTCAAAATGGCATGAAACTGTGAGTCTTTTCAAGTATAAGATAATGGCTACCAGGATGGTTGTTACTCATGGTTAAAATGTACTGGAATTACAACACCATACAATACATGATACATGTATTTTAACCGACAGGCTCATTGAAGAAACGCTTATCTACCTACAAATTGAATTTACTGCAGTTGAAATTACACTAGTTGTAGTAAAACCAAAAATTTTAATCCATTTTCACACACATTATTATTACAGGAACATATTTTCTATTGATATTTGTTATGATCTCAAAACACTTTTACTATAGTGCATGATTTGTAAACTAATGTTGATGTTTGCATCACATAACCAGTTACTAGAACAAGTCTCATGAAACACGTAATGACATTAGGGCTCAGAGACATGTAGAAGCAAGTTAATATGGCATGGCTGTTTCAGCAAATGTGTTATCTCAAGTTTGCTTTTTTTAACACTAATGCCTAGATTTTGTGTAGGATTAAGTGTAGAATAGCATATTCAAACGTGATAGAGCATTAAACTTGTAGTGATAAAAAACTAACTTGGAAATGTTTTCAGATTCTCATTCATCAGTTTTGGACATAAAACTGAACGTGATTTGAAAGTGTCACAGAAATGTCACGACTGCCAGATGTAAGGTATTTATCTTTATAACTAAATACATTAGACTGTAAATTTGAATATGCTCATCGTATTTTTTTTCTCATACTACTACTATATATAAATTTGCCTACTATCCCTCACTATAACTTATGCAAATACCTTTCAAAAGCCTTCAAGAGTGATGACAGCAGATAAATCCCAAGGAACACTCACATGAGAATGAAGTGGTTGACTTGACAGTAGGTCAGGTCAGAAAAATCCACATCATGCATATTTAAAGTGGAGGTGTTTGAGGCTCATCAAGACAGACCAAACTATGATGAATCCATCACACAGAATATAGCAGGGCTAATGTAGTAAAATCCATCTCATGTGGTCTAGACCTCAAATACGTAGATATTCTTTTGCAACATGTATCCCAGCAGATTATTTTATCCCTTCAGGCAGCTCTCGCTGATAACATGGCTGTAAACCCCTGGCTTAAGCAGTTCCGTAGAAGAGAGAATCTGAATGTTTGATTAATGTGAGTATGCAAGACATTTTGAGGTGTGAGAACAAAACCAACAGTAGAAGCAGAATATACAGCAAAGTACCCCAGATTGTGTAAAAGGTATTGTACCATGAGACCATGTGATGCTAAACTTTGCTGCTTGCTCTTGCTGCATAGCTGGCCATTCGTCACTGGGTTGACACTCTTCCATTTGGGTTTATCTCAACAGCCACTGGACAGAAAAGAGGGCAGGACACAAACATCAATGTCCTCTTATTTGATCATCGAGATGATATGGGCTACACCCAAAGGCTTTCATGTCAAATTATGTTTTACATAGGGCTACTTTTCAAGAACACAGGAAAAACAAAAAGCATGCGTCGTGTCTACACCAGGGGTCAGTAAAGTCTCAGTAATAATAACGGGCTGTTATGTGCTTTCCAATGGCGGCCTGATGTCATGCCAATGGATAGACACAAGCTTTATGTGATTCACGTCATCTTTCTTAATTTATCTTTTTTTTTTTAGTAATGTCACTTTAGAATAATGTAATAGCTTACGTCCACTATGTAACTGCAAATCTATTTGTCAGTTTTTAGGCTCCTTGAAGTGAAATTCACAGTCAGTGATGTTACCACAGGTTTAAAAGTATAATAGGCTAAATACATTTAGCAATAAATAAATAAAATAAAGTTTAAAACATTTTGATTTACTCTATAAAAGCCTTAAAAAGCCCATTTACCATGTTTCTCACCAAGCTTTGGGAAAAAAATGCAGGCCTACAAAGCCTACAGCAGTTTTGATGACATATGATGTCAGCTGATAAAGGCAGATTGACACACCACAGAGCCTGAGGGTTTGGTACAGGAATTGAGGCCAAGAAAGTGACTGCCTGCTTCTAACCGCTGCAGACAGAATGAAAAATGGTATTCGTTTGCTCGGGAAATATTTAGACCAGACCACCAATGAAGATTTCTTCTCTGAAAGGGGGGAGAGGGGGGACTGAGGGACTTGGACGAAAATTTAAAGATATGACTTTTCACAACAAAGTTTTTAAATTACTCTAGACAGGTTTGAAAATGCAAATTACCTTATATCTCCCTCTGCCAAGGTGGAAAGTCATTGAGGTGTGTTGTGCTGTAAAATATGGTGTGTAGAACGAGAAAACAACTTTTTTATCACACTCTGCCATATAGCCTATGATACAACTTGACAGAGAGGGACACATTGACTTCCCCAGCAACTACACAATATAGCCTACCTGTTCAAATTGATCACAAATATACATTTTTTTTAAAAAGACAGAGGCTTCAAATGGGTTTTAGGTGTGAGAAATGAATGTTCAAATGAGAGGCATACGTTGACGAAGGTTTTGATAATTATATCTGAAGAACACACTGGAAAGTGAACAAAAGTTTGATTTTTCAAGGCTCATTTAAATGGCCATTTAACAGATGAGAGGAGGCATTGACCGCTAATTGCAGTTCCCATCTTTTCCATTGACTCTGGTTGTTCTTATTGTACAACTCAATGATGTTGTACATTACCTAGAATAGGGACTGAAGAGTATACAATTTCACTATAATAGAGAGATAATGAGATCTTATATTGACAGAGAAACGCTCACGCAATAATAATTAGAAAATCAAAAGTAGAATTATGACAATTTTCAGATCTGATTCTGAAGATAATATTACTTCTTGATCTTGATAGTGGAACAACATTTCTATTCGGAACTGGTCTTTATTATAGGGAACTGTCCGAAATAGGGCACTTGATGTCATTTCAAAGTGTGTTCTCAAATTCAGTGACCACCAGGTCGTTGTATTGTTGAATTACACAGCTGGATGCCGTGAGGCCTGTTTCACACATTCTGTGGATGGGGTGTATGTGTAACCCAACAGAAGGCTGTCATTGCGCTGTCTGCTGGAAAACAGAATAAATAAAGTGATTTCTGAATAAAGAGATAGGGTGTCCCATGTTTTTTTGTTTTTTTTTCTGGAATGTGCTCACCAGCTTCTCATGTGCATCTTCATTAAACCTTTTTGACGAGCTTACATTGGTGCAAAAGTCAACAGCGGACTATACCTTGTGGCACAGTACAGAGGACAGCGGCGAGGTCTGAGGGTGCCATATGGGACAGGACTGCGGGGGAGGACAGCAAGGGCAGAGGGTGCCATCTGGGACACGGCCTTTGAGCTGTGTTTTCATGCTCTTCCACTTCTGTTGATCAGATGTGCAAGAGAAGAAACTCTTGTTCTCCTGGAACGCCAGTCCTAAATAAACACACAAACACACATTAATTTAATTTCCCATGCATTCCTTACCCAAATAACTCGATCAGACTTCCCATCAGAGACATAAAGTAATAATGATATTTTAATGAAAAGAAGCCGGTGAAACATTTCTTTTCAAAAAGAATTGATACCGATGTCAATGCACAGCTACCAACGGTGCCTTGGAGACAAAGCACTTACTGTACAACTGGAATTCGAAATACACGTTAAGTGCATGTTTAATATCAATAGCCTAACAGAAACTTGATATGTTGGAACATTACAGTTAGTGCATTTCCTTTGTATTGTGTCATTTATTTTGTATACATATAACATTGCATCTTTTTGCTCATGATGTGTTATTACACTATAACTGTGGCTTCTAATGCAATAACGATGGCTTGTAATGTAGGCAGGACTTATTATATAGTTTAAAAGATTTTCTTTCTAAGGGTATTTTTAGCATGCAAAAGCACCAACTGAAACATTAGTCAATGAACCAGAAAATGCTTCTTGCTCTCTTGAAATTAAATTTAGACATATCTCAAATCATCTACCTACAGTAAACCATTTAAAAAACCTGAGCCTGAGGTCAAATGTCCAGACTGAACCTTATGACTCAATTGCATCATAAGTAAAAAAATATATATAAACGATTGTCTGTGAATGTTAATATTCTCTTGCTGTGATCACATTGCATGTGATTATCATACTCCAGAATATGTTTAGCAGGGTCAACGAACAGTCAGGTTAGTTTATCATATCAACTTCTTTGATCTGAAAAACAGAATTTGTAACATCTTGTTGATTTTACAACCCAATTTAATATAAAACAAAAGTAATGTAAAATACCATCCAGTCAGCATCATCTCTGCTATGCTTACAGTCATATGAAAGGACAATAACAGCACTGTGAGCTGAGCTATGTTTGTGCATATCCACTGATTTGTCCTAATGTGTCCCCCTTTCAGCTCTTTTGGAGTAAGGAGGAACATTGAGCAAACTGACAAATCAAAAGAGCTCATGGATGGTGGAGTTCAAAGTTTCTTTTCTATTTCTGTAAAAATGGTCCATTGCCTCTGTTTGAAGTTCATTTCTACTCTTTTTAATGAAGAAATATAGGTAGGAATAAGGATGACCTTTCTTTCATATGGGCCATCCTACAGAATTGGTGCAAAGTCAGAGTCATTTAATCTTGAAAAAAAAGTCCTTTCCAACCATTTTTGTACGCACATTGTATAATATTCAAGGTACATGTTTCTAGTAATTGTGAAGTTAATTCTCATATTGGATTTTGGATTTTGGTTACATTTACCTTGTAAATAGATTTTTTTAGAAAAAAAAAATCATAGGTAAATCAATAAGAATTACAATACCAAACACTATCATAACATCTTAGTGGATAATTCAATATACTTACTTTGTACAATATACAAAACATCCCAAGTTTCGGTCGTGACTGCACATTTTCGGCAGTGGTAGCGACCCCATCACATTACAGAATTTTAACTTGCATACTAAAACACACTAAAATACTAATGATTTGCATAACTGTACAAAAAATGTGTTTATTTCTCCCAAATAAAGGATTCTGTGTTTCCTTTTTGTCAATAAAGTCACAACCAAAACATGAATGGTTTGGTTGTGAGAACTTGTGACAATTTTAGGTACTTTTGAGCCTAGCTCAAAGATGCTTAACAGCACATGGTTAGCTTGCACAGTTCTGAACAGTTGTAGGCTACACACAAAAAATAAAAGTTTAGGGAATAACATCTAAAAAAAAAAAAAGAAAAAAGAAAAAAAAGGGGGTTCGGGATAGCCGAATTAAAATGTTAATTTCTACCATCCTTGTTTGACTTTGAGTTACTGGATCCACATGTACTCTACCTGTCATATTATATTAGCACATGGAACAATACAAAACACTGTTATTGTCACAGTATATTTGAAGCAGTAAATGACACTTGTTATATTCCTACATATCTGATGCAAATTAATACAATATTTTGCATACTTAATAACAATGCTCTAATACATTCTGTGTGCATTATTATTATTTTTTGTACAAAGAATACTTGGTCTCTTTCCCCCTAATGTTTTGAGCAAACTGTGCAAAATAAGATGAGTTGTGATCTATCTCAGAGCTGAGCAGAAGAAAAGCTCTGCTGCATTCTGAGAATTTACTCCTTATTCTATACCATGCTTTAGACATAATGACAAAATCACATTTCCATTGGCCGAATTGATTGCAATTTTGTGGTTTGATGAGATCATTTTACTTTCAGTCAGTCTAACCCTAAGGCCATCAAACTGAAATACTTTAGGGAGTGTTTTATCTTTCTACATGTTCAGCAGCAAGTGATTTTGATCACTGACATTGCATTCCACTAAGACTTTTATATTTTGCATCTAGTAATCTATTCATTATAATAACTGCACAGTGTATATAATACATTAGTCATTCATCTTACTTTTCTCAATTGCCTACATCGTTTTAGCCCCAAATATGAAAACTCGTTTCACTGTTTTATTGAAATGGCCACATTATGAAGCCAGACATTCTCTCAGGAAATGTGTATTTTGGGAAGTTACAAAAATTACTTCATTATAGTGGTTGCACATACAGACGAGGTAAGTTTGTATAACACATTTTATTGTATGAGTCATAGAGAGAGTAGAGCAGGAAGGCAGAAGATGGTTAGATGATGACTTAGTTGGCAGGTAACACTGTGTTCTCTGTGCAGGTGAAGGACTGGCAATACAGGTAAGTACTCAGGTGAGTAATCGGGTTGGGTCTGTGGGGCTTAATAGAAAAGACTAGACAATGAGGTGAAGAGAATGACAAATAATACAAATAGGGTGTGCTGACGGTCTAACACAGTCTCATCCCAAATCGTCATATAACTGACGTTTTGGGACGTATTTTGACCATACGTCAATATCCGCCTTTTTAGGGCCCCCTTAAACGTCGGTAGATGGCGATCCCGGGCCGTCATACAACTGACG